CTCTACCAAAATGTTGTATATTTTACGTCTTTTGATCCAGTGCTCAGACTCGGAGTGGAATTACATAGGACCGAGGTCAAACGTTCGTCTGACAAAAACAAAAAAAATCACATAGTTTTCATCAAGAACCCTGCTTTCTCCCCTCTCAAATCTGAATGTGATAAAATTTGATTATTACCATTGAACTCCTTTTTTCAAACATCTTTTATGTTATACAATTTATTAGATGTCTAATCGCATCAAATAAATAGAGCCTGATAAGTTTTTTTGGTTAGAATTTGAGAGAAAATGGTTAATTTTTCTATGCAAAACCTTGTTGCCATTGTAACCAAGATACCAGTAAGCAAGTCTTTAGTTGTTTATTCCTCTTTAAGGTATTTTGATGTGTGCATGTCTTACTCTGTTTACTTTTTCAAATGATAACACGAGGTTTAAAAATTAGAATTTTATATATGAATGTTTCTTAATTTCAAAATTTTGTTCAAATGTTACCATATAGTCACCGACCTATATCACGTGGATCTTCACACTTTCTTTTTACTATCCTAAGCAATAAGTTTTGTCATTGTAACATATGTGGTCATTTACATTCTTTGTTCCTGCACAAAGCCACAATAAGCGATCAAAATATATAAATATTTCAAAATTTCAAAATTTTTCACCCTTTAGGTCCTTTGCCATGGGACAAAAATTGATAGCAACCAAATAATCATCAGTTAAGTTTGGAGGATGAAGGTCACTTATGTATGAAGTTTCAAGAAAATCCATGATCATGTGTTCCAATAAATTTAATTGCTTACAGAGAATGACTCTTAAAAACATCAACACCAAGCATTAAAGTTGTCAATGTGTAGATACCTTTCGACCAAAACTGTGATTGGTTGATATCCAAGGAACGGTGTGTCATGTTCTAAATTTTGAATTTACCTGGTGGGAGTAAATGCAAAATTTAGAACATGACAATTTTGTATTTACTCCCACCCGGTAAATTCAAAATTTAGAACATGACAGTGTGTTATTTTATAACCATTCTTTACAAAAAAGTTGCTTCTGTTTGAGGATTTGAGTAGAGCAAACTCTAAGGTGAAAAGATCAAAATTGTTGGTATCCAAAGGAAGGTCTTGTCACAAGGAATACACGTGTGAAATATGAAAGTCATCGCTCCAACCAATTAAGACTTATGGGCAATGTTAAAGTTTTGCGGATAGACAGACGAACGGACAGGGCAAAAACGATATACCCCTGAATCATCGATTACGGGGGCACAAATAAAAGAACAATTTATTCAATTGATATGCCAATAATCCTACATTCTAGAAACAGGAAAGCCCCAATTCCCGGGACCTATTGCATGCATACAGAACGAACAACGGCATCTCCAATGCTACACAAAATCAATCCTGGAATTGATAATCTTTAGAAACGACTCCTGGGAAGTAGATCCTGTAAAATGTCATCGTCTCCGGAATTAAATCTTATGCAAGCAATTTTAAGACACACATTGGCAGGACTCTGAAAAATGTTACAGAGAACGTTCCCTCCGGGTGGCACCGAAATAGTGCAGTTCACATAGTATACTGTTGATTCCTTATTTTACGCGAGTACTTATTGTCAATAACAATAACAAAAATTCAATGACAATAATTCGCGAATCGGTGATTTATCTAGAGATTTTACATACATTAAAGCACCATAAGAATAAAAGCGAGTAATTTGGTGAGTGGTGCTTCTCGCGAAATTACGCGATAATTTATTCCTCGCGTATATTTAGGAATCTAAAGTAAAGATTGGATTTACGTAATACATACATTCTTTTAAAGGTGCTTGGACACAGATTTGAAGTTAATATTTTCTCAAGTTTTCTCTACAATTTCATGACTTATATGTTGCTACAGCATTCCATACTAAAATATGATAAAAATCTTATTTCCTTTCGAAGTTATTAAAACTTCGAATTTCTGGACGCGTTGCATTAACACATCCTTGCGCTTTCACATATTTTAATTTTATTCTTAATACTTAAGAAAAGTGGCAATTGTGTTGTGTATTAATGAAAAATATTAAAACTATAACCCAGAAAATTCAGAGTAGAAATGTTCGAAAGCAAAACCCACTCACAGTATTGTAAGTCCGTGCTCAGTGGTGTGTGCAGAGTTTTACAATTGAACACACCCGGTGAATCGTAAACATTAACAATAACAGAGCTCGTGCTCTGTTTACAAACAGTTTACGTTTCACGGGTGTGTTCAATTTGTTAAACTCTGCACATACATCACAAAGCCGGACTGACAATACTGGTGAGTTGGTTTTGCTTTCGAACATTTCTACTCTGAATTTTCTAGATTATAGATGTAATATTTTTCATTAATACATAACAAAATCGCTTCTTTTCTTAAATATTAAGGATAAAGTAAAAATTTATGTAAGTGCAAAGATGTGTTAATCAAACGCGTCCCGGAATTCGTAGTTCCAATATTTTCCAGATAAAATAAGTTTTTAATTATATTTTCATGTGAAATGCTATTGCAATATATAAGTCAAGATATCATACAGAAAATTTGAGAAAATATTAAGTTCAAATCGGTGTCTAAGCACCTTTAAATCGAGTGATATCTTTTCGTTTAACCCCTTTTCTGTGAAATTACATAAAGAATGTTTTACATGGCAGAGCTGGTATCAGAGAGATCGAGATTCATTTTATAATCGTAAGTATATTGTAGATATAGAGAGGAAACGCTAGCAACATTTCCTGATAGGGGGTAAATACTGTGTGTCATTACCTCAGATTTTCAGTATCTACAGGGCTCAGTTTTTTTGTTTGCTTGTCAGATTTTTTGGGGAGCCCCCCCCCATACTTGTTAAACCGTCGCTACGGGCCTGAAAAAAGACATGCATTTTCTTAGAAGTATTGTATTTAATGTTTAAACAAGCATTCTGAGAGTATTGCATTCCTTACCGGCAAGTGTGATCTGGTTCCCGTCAAAAATTGAAAATGCCATAATTCCGACAAAAATTAATGAAGCGGAACGAAATGCAAACTTGATCTATAAATAATCAAGGTTAAGTCACATACGAAAAATCAGCTCAATATCTACAAGCGTTTAAAAGAAAATTGCGGAAACCCTTAAAAATTGAAAAGGCCGTAATTCCGTCAAAAATCAATGAAGCGGGACGAAATGCAAACTTGATCTGTAACTCATCAAGATACACTCACATACCAAAAATCAGCTCAATATCTGCAAGCGTTTGGGGGAAAAGTGCGGAAAACCAAGTGGGACAGACTGACAGACAGAGAGGGACAGACTGTCGGACAGACGCAGAGGAAACATATAGTCCGGTTTTACCGGTAGGGGACTAATAATATGCATATGAGAGAACTGAAACTATTCAAGTATTAGTACAAAAGAAAACAGTATAAGTATATTTAGAATCTTATTAATTTGAAAGTATCATCATCAAATTATCAGACCTATTTATACCAGGCAAAATTATCTGCAACACGTGGCTCCAAAATATTTACACAAAAAACTATAACACAATACCTTATGACTTTTGTTAGCTTTAGTTTTATTATCAAATCATTTCAAAGGCAAAAACAATGGTTCATGAAAAGTTCAATTATAATTCAAAACACAATATTAAAATATCAATAAGTGCATTATACAAAATTAATGTATCAATTGAAATTATAATTTGGACGCTCATTGCAACTCAATTGGTGGATCTTTTAGCAGAAAGCAAAATGCATGCAAAGAATTTCTACCCATCCTATATCCTGTCACCACAAGAGATTCATTGCTTTTTTTACGAAAGCCCATTGAGCTCATTTCCGTAGGATAAAAAAATTTTTTTTTTTTCGCGTTATAACGCGAAACTTTCGCGAATAAACACGAAAGTTACGCGTTATAGCGCGAAAGTTTCGCATTTATTCGCGAAAGTTAAGCATTATAAAGCGAACAATATTTTTTAACCTAAGAAAATGAGCTCAATGGGCTTTCGTACTTTTGAATGTAACAGGATACGAGTCGAAATACCTGAAACTTGCAGTGCATATCCAGCTGCACACATAGTATATGACCTTGGCAATGTAACATCGTATCGGTCTACATAATAACCCTTTTTTCTCAGAATGAAAAATGAAATCTCCATGAGGTATTCGACTACATTCAAGAAGTTTATATATTTTTTTTTTAGAATTGATATCTGACAATCCCAAGATATATATTTATTTTCATTACCAAAACAAACCGTGTCTTCGATTCTAAGAAATTTCTCTTTTGTAATTGAAGTTCAATTCTAGGAAAACTTCCTTTCGTTTAAGAGGTTTTCATTTTTCCTGTTCAACTATAAATTCAATAGTTTAACTCAATATGTTGTCGCCCATGACCGCAAAACGTGTCAAATTGTACTAGTACAGTACCCAGCTGTATGAAGTTAGAAAACAAGTACAACTGCCTATTTTCATCGTTCTTGTGTTCTTAGTATTTATCATGACTTTGACTGAAGACCATATATCAACATGATCAAGGTATCTGAAATACACAAGCTCTTTCTCTGTAACCAATACATGGAAATGTTTTCAATAAACAACGAATGTAACGTCATCTTGATTCAAGTATTTTAACATGATTTCATGGTCACAATAGGGCGAGGGAGAGATTTATGTTTTTTTATCGTTTGTGTGTTTTCGTTTCATTTTTTTCACTAGTAAGGATAAATAAAAAACTACATCTATTGCATTATTCAAAAAGATTATCATTTTTAACAGGAATGCGCCGCATATCTCATCAATCTAAAGGAAGTATACACAGCATATACATACATCTGCATCTCTGTGTGTGTGTGTGTGTGTAATCGGTTAGTTAAAAAAAGATAAAATACAAAATTTAATATATATATATGTGTAAATTTGAACGCAATCTCCTTAAAATTAACAAAAAATTCTTTGAACAAATTCTTCGATGAACCTTTACAAAAAAAAAAAAAACGCTAACGCACTGTTTAAGAAAGAAAATATTTTATTAAATAGGCAATGCAAATGAGCAAAAGTGAAATCTTACACAAACCGCACTGTATTTATCATTAAAGTTAACAATTTGCACATGTACTTTTTTAAGCAAATGAAGAAGACCTTCGTATATCGAAAGTTTTAGACGTACAATGAACACAACATCTCTTCAATCATGGTGTAAATCGAATACTATATAGTTCAAGAGCAAAATTAACAATTCAAAGGTTAAAAAAAATTATTAAAATTACTCTCTAAGAGAGCCTAAAGCAATGCCAAACTGGCCGCCATAGTAAGTCATCATAACTAAAAACTCTGAAAAGGGAATGTAAAATTTCCATTTATTGACACCTATTAAGAAATCAGATAGAGTGAACAATAGGATTCCTACAAATCCCAGCAACGCAGGGTAAGTGTTTTCCCGCTCAAATCGTGACGCGGCCCTCCAAGCAACCGTAAAAATCAGAACCGTGTAGATAAGAACTAAAAACTTCATAAAGATGCCCTCTATACCAGATTCCAGAAACAGGAAAGTCCCTACTCCTCCAAGGTAAAATATAGATTGTAACCTGCTTCCCTTACTTCCGGGACCCAGCGCGTATAAATACCAAGCCTGCGCAATGGTGAAAAATAACATTCCTGGAATGAACATGGTTTCCCTAGCAATAAGACAAGCATCTCCAATGCTAGAGAAAATTAAGCCTAGAATTGTAAATCTGTGGAAGTCGCTTTTGGGAATAGGATTCTGCAAAACGTTTTCATCCCCAACATTTAATCTAACAAATGCAATCAAGGCAAATATAGGTAGCACTTTGAAGAATGCTGCAGAAAATGTCTCCTCGGGGTAGTGCAAAAATGGCTGGTACAGCACGAAGTACACTGCACAGAGTACATAAAACGGAATTAAGTACACATTCTTTAGTCGGCGAATTATTTCTTCTTGCGTAACATCCATATTCTAAAAAAAAGAAATAAAAAGTAAGTTAGTTGCTTAGTTCAGAGCATACAAGTACTAGTAATTGAGATCTATTCTACTACTCGACTATCTGATACAATTAAAGCTTTTTTTTCTTTTTTTCTTTTTTTTTAACTATAGACTTAAGTTAAGAGAGTAAACATGCACAACATAAAATTTTGAAATTTCTGAAATATAAAAATTAAGGTCTTTCTGTAGGACTCTCATGAAAATGAACCTACTCCTTTTCAATGGATTACATGTGTCTTTATGCGCACGCCCATACGAAGCATCATTAAGTGTATTCTTTTGCGACATTAATCTGTAGAGTTTTGTTATGTACAAACCTCAGGATTTACGGTATATCTACACTGAAAAGTTAAAAGTATAATTTTTTACTTGCAGCATCCCATACCTTCTACATTTAAGCGGATGATGCCACTTATGCATACCTGCTTGATCCAGGCCCGTAAAACGCGGGGGCACTTTTTCTCTGAGTAAAGTATTTTGTAATTTTTTTGTTATAGTCAATTTTCAATCAGATGCTCGTTGTCCCCCCCCCCCCCCCCGTAAGATTGGGCACTGGCAAATTTCAGGATTTGCGCAGTTAAGGACCTTTTTTCCCTTGTCACATTATTTTAAAAAGTTCCCCACCCCTCTTGTTGGACAATTTATTTTTGTATATATTGGGGGTTGGGAAGCCCCCCCCCCCTCTTGAAACCGTCATTTTCCCATGACGGGGTTCTTGGCTCACAACCAGTTCTCGGACACCTTGAATGATTGAAACCATGTTTACTTTAAAAGACTATTCTTTTCAAATTTTCCCCTAAATTAACTGTATACATGTGTACTAGTAAATATGTTGCATTACTTTGTTAAAAATCATTCTGATTTTACACACAAGTACTCTGAGATTGACATTAAAAGGATGCTGGAGTTCCTCATTGACAATATCTATGTAGTCTTTGGAGACCAGCTCTTCAAACAATCTGTTGGAATTGCGATGGGCACTAATAGTGCAACTTTATTAGCCCAACTTTATATGTTCCTGTGAAGAATTTATTCAAAAACTTCTACAAAAGAAGGAAATTCTTGCTGTGACCTTCAACTCGACATCTAGAAGTATCGATGACGTTTTACAATTGGTACTTACTTTCATTCACATCCCAGTGAACTCGAAATAAACGATACCACAGAGTCTGTCATATTTGTTTCATAGTTGGATGTTTTACTGACTATAGACGATACGGGCCAGATAACAACGTACTAAACTGTACGAAAAAGGAGATTACTTCAACTTTTCCATCGTCAACGTTCCTTATGCATACAGTAATAATATTCGACGATTCCACATTCACCTGTTTATTCCTCACAATTTATTACGCATTGAGCATGCTTTGAGTACGATCAATTTTTTAACCGAGACAGGCTACTGACAAAGAAGTTGATGGGAAGCGGGGAATGCAAAAAATATATATATAAGTTGAAGATACAAAGTTTCTAGCATGCTGATTGCCATGTCTTGATATATTGCAGTAGATGATTCTTATATATTCCATACTGACTGCAGTTATATACTATATACACGTATTTGTTGCATCCAGGGATGCATCATAGCCGTAATGCTTCCAATGCTGTACGTGATATTTATTTTATAGATATAGTGATCAAGTTTACTCAGTAACTTAATGGACACATTAAATCAAGTAATGATAAGTTATATATATCATTAAAATTTAAAACTAACTTTGAAACATATGTACATGTATGACGTTTCATAAGATTTTCTCAATGAGCCGAACTTTAATAAGGTATACGTGTATTCCCGATTCTATTGTACTTAAGTTTGTACTTATTTAGAAATCATCAGTCAATTTTTTTTTTTTTTGCATCAGGGAAATTAAAAATATTCTGCTGTTGACGCCAACTCCAAGCATGGCTTGAAACATTCTCTACGGGCATTGTCTTATGCTGCAGACAGAGGAGGACATACAGATCGATACACACTTAATCAAATTAAGCGATCTGAACACAGAGATCCCTGAACATATGTAAATATATCCTTTTGAAAATGTACTGATCAGACAATATCTATGAATACCGATCTACTATGTAAGACACATACATGTACAAAATAGAAATTTATTGACATTGACCATTACTTAATATAGGTACTGTGATTTGAAGTGAACAAACATTGAAGAGAGCATCCATTTATTTATACATTTGTCACTAATATGTAAAAATTTACACACAACCCCCTTCCCGCATAAACTTTGCCTCTCTTTTACTATGCACTCGCCCCTTCCACCAACTGAAAATCCTTAATCCACCCCTATTTGTGAAAGTATGATTCCTCTCAGACAGGCAACGGGCGAAAAAAAACATCTTCAGGCAACACAGAAATGAATCACAATCTTAGTGGATGGCCAAAACCATTTTTTATCGATCTCTTATATTAGTACCAGAAATCGATACACTGAATTTTCATCCATGACTTGCATTACTAGTGAACAAAATTGTATTCTATGCAAACCTACCTGTTGCTGGTCAATCAGAACTCCAGATAAAAGTGGGGGCGATTTGTTGACAAAGGGATGGACTTTGAACTGTTGTACAGTTTAAACAGCTTATATACCCCCAGCACAACCGCTACTACATGTAAACGATTGTACGATCGATATGTGTGCTCTGCATATCCGTGGTGCACACGTCTCTGTGATTAACATAAGAGTTTTAAATCTGATTTATACCCAATGTAATACGGAACCTCTAAGATGGTAGTATATACATTGAAGTTATGATGAGGTACATTTAAACTGTACTCATAAAATATCTTTTGTAGTGAAGGGTTTCTTTCGCAGTATATACATATTGTTTTATGATATCAGAAAGTAATATTAAAAGATATCTCGTATCACAGTCATAGGAAAGTTTTAAAATACGCAGGGTTTGATTTTGAAATTTGGACAATAGTGCAAAGGCTTTGCTTGAAAATTCAAGATTTTTTTTAATTATAATTATTTTTCCCCAAATTTACAAAATATATCTCTTTATGCCTTTATCCTTTGTTTGCTGACATGATCTTTTTTCAGTGCATTAATCCAAAACAACGTAAAAGTGTCCTCCAAAATTTTTTGTTGAATTGTTCAGTTTAAAGAAAATGGGCGAACAAGGCGAGCGAAGTGTCTTAAGTGCGAAAACCATGATGAAAAATTAAATTCAGTTATAACAAAAGAAGGAGGGCATTTTAGATTGGCATTCGGCAGGAATCTGGGCGCACTTGAAAAGTGAAAATTTCATTGATATGTCACTTGAAATTTTAGCATCCTGTGAAAAAGGAAAGGGGTATATTTTCCTGATGTTGTGTTTTGATTTGCTAAAAAAATGACTTGAAAATTTGCAGATGAGTCATTTTGTACAAAATGTTACTTTTAAACACGTTTTTCTAAAAATTTGCTACCCATGGGTCATTTCTCCGTGATTTTGAAACATTATTTGTGTCCATTTGAATTCAAAGAAACAAACAAACATTTGTAAACAATGGAGAGAAGACCCAGAGAACATTAAAAAATGAACTTTTTGAGAGAAAAAAAATCCAATATGTAAATGCAGTGCTTCATTGTCGTTTTAAAATTCATATCTTGTGTCTAGCGATGGTAGCTCTGACAGTAGTATGTGTTATCCGTCCAGTGCAATGGAATCGAAAAATGTTTGGTTCGATCCTTACATGGAACGTTAATATTTTTTTAATGCAAACAATCAATTCTTTTATCAGTGTAATTTTATTCACTGTTTTATTTTAAAATGGATAAATTCTGGTTCTGTAGCACCGAGAGCGAAACCAATTGTTCCAAACTACTGATATTTTAATACACAAATGTAATTGCATAAAACTATACCCTTACAATCTTATAGGTGTCAGGCCCGTAGAACTCGGGGCCCGGGGGATGGGGGGGGGGGGCGGCCCCCCACTTTTTTTGAGTATAATATTTTGCTATAGTTAATTTCCCTTTAGATGCTGCCCCCCTTTTTTTGTTCCTGTAAAGTCGAGCACTAGAAAATTCCAGGATTTGGACAGGTTATTAGATTTTTTGTTTTGTTTTTTGGCTTGTCAGATTTTTGGGGAAGCCCCCCCCCCCCCAACTTTTGACACCGTTGCTACGGGCCTGAGTGTTTATTATTAACGTGAAGCATCAGTGTGTTATACAGTGTAGTAATTATTTAGATAAGCGTAACAATTTGACAAGATATTTCAAACTAAATGTAACATTCTCCTCTGTGCGTAACTTTGGATAGTCTGTCTAGCTGTGGTCAGCCGACCAAATCATGGATATTTTAAACTAAGATGTTTCGTACAGATGATTCCTGCAGATAACAAGCAAAATACGCCCATCTTCTTTTCTTTGATATTTCATCTGATATTTAAAGTATACTTTGTGTAAAAAAAATCTCTACAATTTGCAAAAATCTCACAAAGATTGAAATTATTTGCCTATGAAATAGCATACACACACTAAAGAGGGCAAAAAGGGATCATTTTCTCATACTATAACACAATTCTTCCATATGAGTGGGTCTTCGCTCCATTTTTTTTTTGGAAAGTTTATCCTCAAAGTTTGCTTAAAAATATACATTTTTGGTCAACAAAAACATGGAGCAGAGACACACTATCTCACTATACCTTAAAATTACACTTTCACGACACAGCATTAGCATCTAAGTCAATTTAGTCAAGGGTCATATCACAAACATGATTTAAATGCCAATATTCACAAGGAACTGTGTAACGTAGTGGTTATGCATTAGTTTCAAAGGAAAACGATACTCAGGATTTTTATTGCTAGGGTTCGAACCCCACATTATCTTTTAGTGACAAAATGATTTTTGCCGTGAAAATTTTCCTCGGAAAATTTTTATCATCATAATTTCATAAATTTCAATAATGAGAACTTTAAATATTAAATTCAGAAATTTAATATGATTTTTACACATCTGAATCTATAGGCACTCTGCACGCCTTGTTCACCCATCTCTTTTGTTTAAAATTACAATTTCTCCCCTGAAAGGATTCCATATATTGAAAAGACGTTCTAAGTTTAGCACCTGGAATTAAAACAAGTACTCGTCTCTTTGACCACACAATAAAATCTGTTCTTATATAAAATTCTAAAAAAAAAAATGGGGTGGATATGCAATTTCAAGGAATAAACTAAAATCATCTCCATTTGATCTAAATAATCTCTTCAAATCAATTTACTGTAAGAAGCTTCACTTATAATTTTCCGAACGTGTTCCCGATATTTGCAACAAATGTAAGAAATTTTGCTAAACTGTCAGAATTAGGAAAATTTCCTCTTAAATTTGATGTATTAAAATAAATTATCAATTATTGGTACAGACTTCAAAATCTACTTAAGGATAGATCTTTATATGCAGCAAATGTTTACATCTCAGATATACACTATGATGGTATTCACTTGTAGAAAAGAGTTTCAAAATGTGTGAATACTGGGCACAATCCAAAGAATTTGGTCAATGTAAATTACTCTGTATCAAATACACAGAAAACTGCATTGATGATCGAAACAAACTGAAGGAAGGAAAACTATATATATATGCACATACTTAAACTTAGGCAGTTCTTTGGTTTTATATCAGCTCTTAAATTGATCATGGCCGTAGGAACGGGGGAGGGGGGATGCACGGAAAATGGGTTAGGGGGTCGTGCCAACAATAATTTTGCCGATATATATCATACAATAGAAAATATAGCTACTTTATGCTTGTGTCCCCTCAATATTAATGTCTGATGACTTTTTGTTTTGCTTGTCAAGGAATTTTTCTTTGCTAGCCCCCCCCCCCCCCCCCAAAAAAAAAACTGAAATGCCTATTGATGAAATACCTGTTGATGATTGAAGTTGGTAGATATTCTAGCATTCCTAGGTCTGAACGAATCTAAAGAATGCAATTCTGGTGCATTATGAGATCCATTTCTTACTAAATGTGAAAATGTTGTTAATGACAGAAAACCTTTTATTCTTTAATTTTGTAGTAAAAAGTTTTATACATTTATTGCCTGTGCTCGAGTGCAACATGTGTTTTGTCGGACCCAAGAACCAAACTGTTTGCCTGGAGCCATTATGCCGATGGCAAACAGTTTGGTTAGAGGGGTCGACAAAATGCATTTTGCCCGAGAGAACAGTCAATAAATGTTTTGTTATACCTTTTATTTATATTTTTTGACATACATGTATCTTGTGATGTAAATTTCCTTTACCCGCACTGCGGTAAAACTTCGTCGATTCTGTCACTGTCGAACACCAACTTATGCAAATAAGATTTAGCTGGTCCCGTCCACAATGTGACGTAAGCGGTACAATATCTCATCGACATGTCCAATATTTCTTACACTGCGGTCAAACATCGATTTATTTATGACCGCTCAGTAAAACAATGGAAATGTTCGACTTTTTTTTTTTTAGTATAGATTTATATAGGAACCAATTTTTAAATGTATAATAACAAACCTAATTTTTCTACTCTTGATGTCAGATGAACAAAAAATTATACTTTTATTATGTTCTGAAGAAACATGTATTTTAAATGCAATTGTAATTTTATGGACAGAGGGTACATGTCAAGGTTAATGTACTAAATGCATTTCTACCACCTAAATATGGCTATATCACAGACAAAATCAATTAAAGGCAATCAAAATGTTTACACAAAATCAGTCAAAACATTGCTGAAGCACAAAAGCAATCATGAATACAAACTGCTGCTGTAAAACTAAGGAACAAAATTGCATTGTACGTGTACAAACAGTTGCGTAACAGATCATGAGTTGTCGAAGCTAATACTTTTTCTCATCTTTATATATCTGTCAGTTTCAACAATTGAAAAATCTTTTGATAAGTCAGCAATTTTAAGAGTCAGGATTCATTAATTCAGTAAAAATATTCCTAATTTTCATTCAATATTCCATGTCTGTTCCCTACACCAGAGTGTGTCTGCATTAACTGGACAATTTGATTGGTTGCTATCCACAGTGAATCATGACCTTTATGCCCTCACCCCTAGCAACAGTCTCAAATGCCTTGACACTGTCTTGTAGTTTGAATCGATGGGTGATGAGGGGTTTCACATTCACTTTTCCTGAAGCAATCATGGCTAGAGCCGTTGGATAACTGCAATTAAATAATAACAAAAAATGATTGATATAGAATTCATGGTTATTGTTTTGAAGTATAAGCATTACTATAGTATATGGGCGAGGATATGAAAACGTGATAGAGCCTAGAGGGCTGGGCTTGCTTTGCGTTTTGGACCTGAGCCCAAATACTGTTATATTTCAAAGCAATTGTCATGTATTTCATATATCCTGCAACATAGTTTTACATTTGACTTCCAAAACGAGCCATTTTCAACAAATTTAGGCACATCTTTGCAGTTAAAACTATGAAGGTCATAATGCTTTTAAAGGCGGCTATACTTGTATGTTTATTTCTGCATTGACCTAATATAGCTTTGGTTTTTTGGGTAACCTTTATTTGATCAATGCAAGGATAAAATGACTTTATGAAGTTAAAAGACTTTTCCCACCATTCATTTACACACAATGAAATCTTTGTCCAATTATTGGCATTGAGGGCACTTTCCCTGACCCTTAAGCTTAACTGCTGCTTAATAAAAAAAAAAACAGTCGGGTATTTTTTCATACTGTATCATTTTAAGCTGGGCTCATTTGCTGTAGAGTTTAACTGGATTTTGACCCCAGCACCATAAAAAATAAAGCTATGAACAAAATAGAAAGAAAGAAATTGAAATGCTCTAACGATAAAAATGCATAAATTCATTAAAAATCTTCTTCTATTCCCCTGTATGTTAAACAGTTGAACAAGGTGCATGGTAATGATGAACAAGGGTGCCTCTTTCAACATTGTGAAATTTGTTGCACCAAAGTCAGGGGTTCTGGTGGTAGTGGTAGTGGTGGTGGGGCTCTGATGTTTGGGGGGGGGGGGGGCTCTATTGATTATATAGTGAAAATGAAAATGCAGTATTCCAGTATTAGTTCAAAAATCTTCTTCTGTGATCCACAGTATCAAGCAAACAAACTAAGTGCACAGTTATGATAAGCAAGGGTGCCTCTTCCAAATTTGTGAAATTTCTGGCCCTGGGTCAGTGGTTCTGATGTGAGGGTGGGGCACTATTGATTATATAGTGAAAATGCATATTTTTTTGAATGAGGAAGCACCCTCATTGTAGTGTAGTGTTTTGTAGTGTATATTCAAGTTTGTTCAAATCATGACCCCCAGAGGTAGGGTGGGGCTGCAATGAGTGATCAAAATTTTACAAAGGAATACATATGAAAAATCTTTGAAAATCTTCTCAAGAAAAGCAAAGCCATGATTGGTCATATTCATATGGAAGCATTCTCAGATAGTGTAGATTCAAATTTATTCAAATCATGACCCCTGGGGTAGGGTGGGGCCACAATGGGGGATCAAGTTTTGCATAGGAATATATATGAAAGATCGTTAAAAATCCTTTTCTTGAGAACAGCAAAGCAATGATTAGTCATATTAATTCAGAAGCATCCTCAGATAGTTTAGATTCAAAAATGTTTAAATCATTCATTAACCCCAAGGGGGAGGGGGCAGGGTGGGGGCAATAAAAGTAAAACTTATAGGAATATAATCTTTAAAAATCCTTTAATGTCATTAATAGTCAAAGAAATATTGAAGCATCCTCAGTCAGTGTAAATTTAAGTTTGTTCAAATTATGCCCCCTCCTTTAATAGGTTGGGACCACTAACATATATATTTAAACTTTTCAATACAGAACTGATTTCTGCTTTTTCTTAGCCAAAGTGCTCAGGTGAGTGATGTGGTCAATGGGCCTCTTGTTTATATGCCATTTGAAACCTTTTTAAGGCTTTTGATTTTTTTTTTTTTGGGTGGGTATCCTGTCTTTTTTTTCAAATTATTTTGTTTAATTAGCTCAGATTACAGGTCTATGAGTACTTTGATTATAATGTATTATAAGTTTTGAAGCTCTGGAAAAAAATAAACAGTCAAAATTCATAATGATGAGGTAGAGCAATACCCCTGTAATTTCTTGGCATTAAAATAGTTTTGTTTTTAGTCATAAGTGAATTGATATGAGTATTTTGAATACTCATAACAAACCATCTACAAATATCTGCTGCTGTTCCATCCATCCATTCCAAAAACAAAACAACACAAAAACACTTACGCACAATGGATAACCCTCTTCATAAGAGTAGACATCTTACCAGTTGACATATCTGAAGATGCCTCTGATATCAACTTCACGGACAGAAGCATCGACGATTGGTAAAGTTATATCTGCTGGTCCCAATCCCACCAACACAACACAACCACCTGACTCTGTTGCCTGGCAACAAGAATTTTACAGCAAATTAAGGTTTTAATACGATAGTGTCTGGAACATAAGTATTTTGGCATGTAAAAATAACAAGAGGCCCAGGGGCCACATCGCTCACCTGAGCACTATGGCTAGGAAAAAGCAGAAATCAGTTCAGTCTTGAAAGGTTGAAAAGTTTAAATATAAAAGTGGGGGGGGGGGGACAAATTTGAATCTACATTACCTGAGGATGCTTCCATTTAAATATGACCAATCATGGTTCTGCTGTTCTTGAGTAGGAGATTTTTAAAGATTTTTCCTATATATTCCTATGTAAAACTTTGATCACCCATTGTGGCCCCACCCTACCCCAGGGGTCATGTTTGAACAAACTTGAATCTACACTATCTAAGAATGCTTCCATATAAATATGACCATTCATGGCTTTGCTGTTCTTAAAAAATAGTTTTTTTAAGATTTTCACTATGTATTCCTATGTAAAACTTTGATCACCAATTGTGGCCCCACTCGACCCCCGGGTGTCATGATTTGAACAAACTTGAATCTACACTACCTGAGGATGCTACCATGTAAATATGACCAATCATGGCTCAGCTGTTCTTGAAAAGAAGATTTTTAAAGATTTTTCCTATATATTCCTATGTAAAACTTTGATCACCCATTGTGGCCCCACCCGACCCCCGGGGATCATGATTTGAACAAACTTGAATCTACACTACCTGAGGACGTTTCCATCTAAATATGACCAATCATGGCTTTGCTGTTCTTGAGAAGAAGATTTTTAAAGATTTTTCCTATATATTCCTATGTAAAACTTTGATCACTCACTGTGGCCCCAACTGACCCCCGGGGGTCATGATTTGAAAAAACTTGAATCTACACTACCTGAGGATGCTTCCACATAAGTTTCATATTTTCAAGCAGAGTGGTTCTTGAGAAGAAGATTTTTTAATGATGCCATTAATTTTTCATGAATTCATAATTATCTCCCCTTGGAAGAAGGTGTGGCCCTTCATTTGAACAAACTTGAATCCCTTTACCCAAGGATACTTTGTGGCAAGTTTGGTTGAAATTATCCCAGTGGTTCTTGAGAAGAAGTCGAAAATGTGAAAAGTTTAGAGACAGACGGACTACAGACAAAATGTGATCAGAAAAGCTCACTTGAGCCTTCGGCTCAGGTGAGCTAAAAACATGTCTTTATAAGTTTGTTTAATCAATATTTTTCTTAAAATAATCCTGACGTACATAGATTGCTGTCTGTATACTAGGTGGGGCCCCGCTGCATTCTATGGTGACCTCTGGTTTCTGCCCCATCACTTCCTCTATCTGTTTTGCCACTTCTCGCCCATCTCGGCTTTTTACAAGAACTGTGTAATCAGCACCAATTTTCTTTGCAATTTCTAGTCTTTTTTCATCAATATCTAATCATAGAAATCTGACAAATAAGCAACAGCCTCTTCCTGTTTGAAGTAAAGAACTGCAATCAATGATACACTAGTTATCTTCCTAATTTTTTCTTCTAATTACTAGATGTCATTTTTTTTATACATGTAATTCATCTGATCATTGGGCATGCTTTCAAATAAGATAGATAGCTATATGTTAGCTCTTAGCTTTCTTTGCATTCTAGATGGCCAGTCCCTGTAGTGATGTCAACCGAGTGATTCAGAAAATAACTCAGGTGTGAATTGGGGTTTTCCCCCAAATATCTCCATTAATTGTGTGGTTATTTCTTTAGTTTTATTTTATCTTTAACATATTAAGGAATTGCAGCCATTTTACTTAACCTTTAAGAACTGTAACATTTTAACTAACACAAGAACAACTTGATATTTTAACCCTTTACACAGTAATAAGAGAGGAATATAAGAACCTGACCTGTGATGCAAACTTCTGATGCTCCAGTGGCCTTTGCTGTCATTAGGTTGACCAGTCCAATTGGTCCTGCCCCACACACCAGCACCCTGCTCCCTAAACTGACCCCTCCCCTTTTGCAGGCATGGACACCCACAGACAGAGGCTCAAGAAAGGCTCCCTCCTCTGTACTAACATTGTTTGGTAACCTGGAACAAAGTCTTTCTGTAAAGTTCAGATACCTCTGATATGAAAATCTGACAGTATGTATTCACGTTGACTTGTAGGTCAATTTATATTCCATGTCAGTAAGGCAGCAACACTTATTCAAGCTTTATTTCTCCTTAAAAGTCTTGATCACTCTCTGACCAATACTCAAAATATTGTAATACACAAGAGAAAAATCTAATTCTTGAAATCTTTTGTAATGATTTATTCTTACTTGAAGCAAAAATCTGCGGCATGAGTGTAAAATTTTGCCAAGTTTCCATGGATGGGGGGCGTGGCACAAAACCTCATGTCGGGGCAGAGATTGTAACGACCCGTCTTACAATGTTTACAGGTCCTACAGGGAACACCCGGCTCTATCGCTACTCTGTCACCTACAAGGTCACAACATAATGCAATATGGGCAAGATCCTTTAAAATATTTATATATTTTTCATGTGTCCTGTCCTCTATTTTTTTGGAATTCTGCAGCATTGTAATCAATATCTTGACTTGATTAGCACTTGCCTACTTTAAGGTTGGATACACCCTCTCCCACTTTGCTGACCACCCCACTTGCCTCGTGGCCGAGTACCATGGGAGCTTTAACAACAAAGTCACCAATTCTTCCATGCTGCCAGTAATGAACATCTGACCCACATATCCCAACATCCTGCATTTGGAGTTGAACCTCTGAAAGATAAAAAAGGTACAGCAAGATGGTAAAATACTATAGAGTTTGTCATGTACTGATTAAAAATATTTTATCCCTTTTCATAGACAGATATAGATGAATTGAAGAACATCAATTGCATGAACATTTTGGTTTTCTGGACTGACCAACAACATGTTATTTTATGTATCCTGTATGTATCCTATAATTTATCTGACAATGATGATACATGTATCCATTATCCCGGGAGTAGAAAACTATTAATAATACTCATCATTTCATCACAGATACAAAATTTCAATTTTGCAACTATACACAGTATGCAGGCTATGAGCCTATTGGAATTTTCATGAACACTTTCAGAATCATATAAATACCTGACATTATCAATTGCATAAACTGTAACATAAAATTTTCTGTTGTAATTCTGACTTGCCAATATATTCACATTAATTTCAAAAGTATTTGTTGAAAAAATTAAGAAAAGGAGCCCTTTAATTTTGTAAAGTAAACTATTAACACCCATTCTCTGTAAGCACCAAAAAATTTACTATAGGGCTTGGAAACAACATGTCTCGGATTTTGATGAAATTTGCACCACAGATGTGTCTTGGTACAAAACTAGCAAATATGGTGTCGGAAGTTCCACACGTGCACTTGGTTGCCATGGAGACGGATCCATCGAATTTGGCCATTTTTGGCCCTTTTTGACCAAATGAAAACATGAAAATTAAGGAAATGTAAACGGATATTTATCGGTATCTACTACACTCAAACTAAAATCATTGGATCACATGATAACTTGAACTTTTAAGGTATACAAGGCATATAATCATTTATTCTAGAAATATTCCCAAGCTAATAAAAAGGTCATGCAGATTGACATGGTTTCTGAAAATTTGAAAAATGGGGAATTTAGCATTTTTTGAGATCTTTTCTATTTATAGCACAAACACCCATAAATAGAAACATATAACAATTTTCCACCAGTTGTAAGCTTCATTGAAAAAAAATATTTACAAAATATACTACAATATGTCATGAACAAAAACATTTGGGCAATTAATAATTGACACAATATTGAAGATCGACTCTCTTTTCTTTTTATAGTAACCGTTGTCTAAAAATAGATATAGTGAGTTATTTAGAAAATAGAGATTCTTGCACTATTTTAGACATTATGGATTGAAAATTTGAATACTATCTATTATAAGTGAGCATCTCCTGCTGATCGAAAAAAAAACCCAGGAAATATCCGTAGACAATTCAATGTGTATTCAATTCAGTGGCCTAACAATTAATATGAAAAACGTCAGTCAGCATTTGACTTAATGATAGGTTGTATTTGCTGACAAGGTCATTGTATCGACCATAAAACTTGCGAAATGATGACTTCAAACGAGACTGTTGATATCCTTGTTTCACCAACTTGTTTGTCAATAGCTTGCCTCATTTTAGAAATTGTTCACACGTAGAGCATGTTCTTGCATATCGAAGCAAATTTGAGACATAAACCCCATATGCAGGTGATAAGGGTATATTGCTACATAAGTAAGGGAAGTTGACGATTGAAAAATTGAAGTCATCACGTTTATCATAAAGCTTTGTTGTTATGTCACCATTAAAGTCTTTTAGTAAATTATCCATAATGTGACTGCCAAGTACATGTGCCAGTTACCATTAAGTGACAAGCACAAAAAACAATGAGGACTTCCAGCTCTATTTATAACTGAAATACACAAAATCAGTGAGGATTTCTATTTATAGCAACAAAATTATACAAGAGACCAGAAGGTTTCAGCAGTCATCTGAGAATAACCCTGTAACGGATCAATGAAATGACAATTAAACAAGAGAATCGAGGGCCTACGATCACTCTTCTGAATCTTATATATTTAGATTAAACCTTGAAATCCCAAACGTAGCTCTGTGACCTACTTTTTGGATAAGCTCTGTGAATGCATTGATTGTAAGCCTCATATAATTTAAAATATTCAGATATTACCTTAAAAATCCTATTTTTTGTCCACACATTTCAAGGACCCAAGATGCTCTATCTACCAAAGTTTGATGACTCTAAGCCTCTTAGTATCAGAAATATTTAGATATAACTGTGAAATTCCAAAATTAAGTTGGCCAAAAAGGGGGCCAAAAATAACCAAATTCAATGGATCCGTCTCCATGGCAACCAAGTGCACGTGTGGAACTTCCAACACCATATTTGCTAGTTTTGTACCAAGACACATCTGTGGTGCAATTTCATCAAAATCCGAAACATGTCGTTTCCAAGATTTTTTGGTGCTTACAGAGAATGCTTGTTAATTAGGGATGTCAAAATATTTATTTTCTTTAGTCTAATATTCGATTGCATTATTCGAACGATAGTCGAATATATTCGAAACTTTTTCGGAAACTAAAATTTTATTTCAAACTTCACTGGTACATCACATATTTAATCCCAAATCCCCCTTTTTTAAATTGATTAAAAAGTTACATCAAATGTTACACAGAGGTTCACATGGACTTAAAATGTGGATAGTGTGTTTATATTTACTTAATATAGACCGCTAATTTCTCAAAAATGTAGGATTTCACCGTCAATCATGTTCATAAATTGGTCTGTAAAGTCGGTTTTTTAGGAAGCATAAAAAATGACTGTGTGATATATTTTTTTAAAGCTTATTAAAATGAGGGGGGGGGGGGGGGGCACATACGGTGCCCTTGATAATGTTAAATATTTGAATATACTTTTTGTACCAATTATCAAAATGTCTTTAAAATATGTAAAAGAATATTAATTTTATAATAATTATTGTAGTGTCCAAACATGTCACGGTTATAATGGGTACATGGTATGAGATCAAGTCCAATTAATAGTTTTACAAAGAAAGCGCAGTATGGCTAGATAATTTTATTATAAAAACAACACATTAATTGACAATAATTCACGCGGAAGTGAAGCATTTCTAATCACTGTACTTTCTACATGTAAAGCCAGCAGTTTTTAATGAGGAAAATTATCTCATCGACTGTGTCTGAGGGAAGACGGTTTCTCAATTTTAGGATGAGAATTCCAACTCTTTATCACTCTTTTATTGAATTTATTTATTCGAATGTCGTTTCGTTATTCGATTGTCAGTCCATTCGACTGATGGTCGAATAGTCGACTATTCGTTGACATCCCTAGTGTTAATATTTAACACTAAATTTAAATCAAGAGAATTTGAAAACATTTTATGTGCTCCGGGTGACATGTTTAAGCCTTTGTTAATGATACACATCACCTTTTAAGCCATGTTTTGTAAAATAAAAAAAATAATCCCACTCTTCCTACCAATAAAGAAATACATCAGAAGCAAAATAATGATCTGCTTTTAATCAAATTGTAAAAATTTCTTTAAAGAAAAATACTGATACATACCTCCTGGCTTAGGTTCTGGAATGGGACAATCCTCCTAAAATATAAAACATTTTTATATAACTTTGAGAGTCTAAGACTCTTAGTATTTAATTTTTTTTAATACAAATTAAATTATGCCAGTACTATTTGTAGCCTTTATTAGCTGTTTAGTCCAGCACTTCAAAAGGCTTGCACAAGAACAGTCTCTTATTTACACCAAGAAGCATATGATTTCATATTGAATTACTGCATGATAGTGAGAAATCTGAGGTAAAAAAACTGTCAAGAACATGATGATTTTTTTAGAGAGAGAGAGAGAGAATAAATATTATTATTGCATGTTTATTATTCTAATTTAACTCTTGAATTTCTTATCTTCCCAAAATGAACCATATTAAGCTTCTGTAAAACAGTTGTAAATATTTAATAATGCTTTTCAACCTGCTGATTGATAATTTCACTCTATATTTCAAGTTTTGATTTTCAGATTGTTAATTTACAAAATATTTACCATAAACATTCATTGAAAATGAATTCAAATAAAATAAAATTGTTTACAAAATCAACGTCCCAGAAGATTTGTTATAATTACATTTAAAGCTATATATGCCGTATCTGAGCTAAAAAATAAAAATATGAGATTGAGTGTAGATAAACATGATATATGTTATTTACGTTCAAATTAAATTTTCACAGATTTTGAACTTTAATAACCATATGTTTCCATAGTTAAATTGATTTTAAACTGTGTCTGTTTGTTTTAAATGTATAATATCTTTGAAATGCGATTGATTTAAATTGTGTAATTTACAGGAAAGTCCTATCTTTATATAAAGTAATAAAACAAATAGAAAGATCTTATTAATTTTAGTTAGTCTGAACTTATAAAAAATACACCATATATGACTTTAAAAGTATTCAGTAATTGTTGTCTTTTTGAAGAATATTCAGTATGTCATTTATAGTTTGATAACTCAAATAATTGTCAAATATTTCATCTCAATAATTTTTTTTTGGAAGGGGGGGGGGTGTGGGTTGTAGAATTTTCGTTTGAGGAACTGTTTGCTTATAAGTAGTACCAAAAACAAACAAGAGGCCCATGGGCCACATCGCTCACCGGAGCACATTGGCTAGACTAAGGCACAAATCAGTTCAGTAATGAACGGGGGGGGGGGGGGGGGGGGGGGGGGGGGGCTTGAATTTTAAACTTCCTGATGATGCTTCCATGTCAATAGAACAAATGAATTTGTTGCACTTGAGAAGATTTTAAAAGAATTTTCCCATTTATTTCTTTGTAAAAATTTGATCCCCCATTGTAGCTCCTCCCTATTTCAGGGGTCATCATTTGAACAAATTTGAATCTACATAACCTGAGGATGCTTCCATATCAATAAGACTAACATAGCTTTTCTGTTCTTGAGAAGAATTTTTTTTTCTATATGTTCTTATGTAAAACTTTCGACCCCCATTGGGCCCCATCCTACCCCTGGGGGTCATCATTTGAACAAAATTGAATCTACACTATCTGAGGATGCTTCCATATAAATTTGACTCTTCATGGCTTTGCTGTTCTTGAGAAGAAGATTTTTCCTTTATATTTCTATGTAAAACTTTGATCCTCCATTGTGGCCCCGCCCTACCCCCGGGGGTCATGATTTGAACAAACTTGAATCTACACATCCTGAGGATGCTTCCATATAAATATGACTCTTCATGGCTTTACTGTTCTTGAGAAGAAGATTTTTAAAGATTTTTCCTTTATATTTCTATGTAAGACTTTGATCCTCCATTGTGGCCCCGCCCTACCCCCAGGGGTCATGGAATCTACACATCCTGAGGATGCTTGCATATAAATTTGACTCTTCATGGCTTTGCTGTTCTTGAGAAGAAGATTTTTCCTTTATATTTCTATGTAAAACTTTGATCCTCCATTGTGGCCCCGCCCTACCCCCGGGGGTCATGATTTGAACAAACTTGAATCTACACATCCTGAGGATGCTTCCATATAAATATGACTCTTCATGGCTTTACTGTTCTTGAGAAGAAGATTTTTAAAGATTTTTCCTTTATATTTCTATGTAAGACTTTGATCCTCCATTGTGGCCCCGCCCTACCCCCAGGGGTCATGGAATCTACACATCCTGAGGATGCTTGCATATAAATATGACTTTTCATGGCTTTACTGTTCTTGAAAAAAAGATTTTTAAAGATTTTTCCTATATATTTCTATGTAAAACTTTGATCCTCCATTTTGGCCCCACCCTACCCCAGTGGGTCATGATTTGAAGAAATTTGAATCTACACATCCTCAGGATGCTTCCATATAAATATGACTCTTCATGGCTTTACCGTTCTTGAGAAGAAGATTTTTAAAGATTTTTCCTTTATATTTCTATGTAAAACTTTGATCCTCCATTGTGGCCCCGCCCTACCCCCGGGGGTCATGATTTGAACAAAATTGAATCTACACATCCTGAGGATGCTTCCATATAAATATGACTCTTCATGGCTTTACTGTTCTTGAAAAGAAGATTTTTAATGATTTTTCCTTTATATTTCTATGTAAAACTTTGATCCTCCATTTTGGCCCCGCCCTACCCCCGGGGGTCATGATTTGAACAAACTTAATTCTACACTACCTGAGGATGCTTCCATATAAATATGACTCTTCATGGCTTTACCGTTCTTGAGAAGAAGATTTTTAAAGATTTTTCCTTTATATTTCTATATAAAACTTTGATCCTCCATTTTGGCCCCGCCCTACCCCCGGGGGTCATGATTTGAAAAAACTTGAATCTACACATCCTGAGGATGCTTCCATGTGAGTTTCATCTTTCCTGGCCCTGTGGTTCTTGAGAAGAAGATTTTTTAAAGATGCTATTCATTTTTCACTAATTCTTAATTATCTCCCCTTGAAAGAGGGCGTGGCCCTTCATTTGAACAAACTTGAATCCCCTTCACCCAAGGATGCTTTGTGGCAAGTTTGGTTGAAATTGGCCCAGTGGTTCTGGAGAAGAAGTCGAAAATGTGAAAAGTTTACAGACAGACGGACAGACGGACTACAGACAAAATGTGATCAGAAAAGCTCACTTGAGCTTTCAGCTCAGGTGAGCTAAAAACTTTCTCGTTTTAAATGAACTAAGATAAATTTGAGAAACCTGGCAAGATTTCATACTCCATTATTCTTATCCAGTCATAACTAATACAAGTACGCACAGACCGCCATACTTAAAAGCAAATAAAAAGTAATCGGTATTGACCTACATATTTTTTTAACAAGCTAACTTGCGTTTGTTGCTAAAAATAGTTGAGAACACCTGCATGACATGCGACAATAAAAAGATCAAAATTATCTTTAGTTTATTATCCGACAGAATAGCAACTGTAAACAATCTTACAATAGTGATTTCCCCCTGCTTTTTCAAGATAACTGTCGGATTGGCCATTTCCACTACATGCAACACTTTATAAGGAAGTATGGTAGGACAAGCACGTTATAATTACATGAACTTTTTAAGAACTAGGAGCACATGTCAAGGGAAAATGGACCTTCAGGACCAAATTTCCGAAAATTGGTGTTTTGGCGGTTTCTGAAAGAGCAAGTCCTGATAAATATTTTGATACCAGCATTTTTATAAGATACCAACTTAAAATCTAATTAAAACTCAAAATGAAATCAATTCAATACTAACGAGCTAATAAGACTGGAAAACGTTGAATAACGTCACGTAACGTCATTGTAACGTCATTTCCAAAAAACACTTTTATGTTCGTTAGAAAAGTTTATCAGATGTATTCAAAATTGTATATATCAATATTAATTTCTCAAAATTTTAGCATAAATATCATGAGATGAATCTATACATTGTAAAAGAGTGATAAGTTTGTCCAAGAAAATAAAAAGCAATATCATAAACACGTATATTGAAATACAAAGTTTACTTATTTGAAACCGGGGTGGAAATGATATATTCAATCAGATAATTGTTCACTAATTCCAACTGCAAACTTGTGAAAACACCCTCACACCCATCTGAATGCTAGGAGATGAAAAACCAGAATAAATTAAGAACAATAAAAATTCCCTCCTAACAATCATGTGACCAGTCAAGAATGACCACTTTATGTAAAGAATTATCATAGTAATACAGCTACAGGTAAATTCTAAAGAGGAGTTACTGGTACTTTAATCTGTTAGGCTTAATAAATAATAAAATAACGAAAATACATACCTTTATAGTTAGTCTGGTTCCCGCCCCCGCCACTCCATTTTCACTTCGTTTCACTTCCCAAAACGAAGTGAAAATGGGGTGGCGGGGGCGGGAACCAGACTATTTCTATACACCCCTCATGTTGGGATATACACGGTGTATATATACTTGGTAAAATTACTTCGAAACACTGGAATTTGATATTACGAAGTGTATTTTTTAAAAATCAAAATAGTATACGGAACCATGGCCGTAAGAACCGGGGGAGGGGGTGCCCCCCCTAATTTTGTCGATATATAGAACACTACAGAAAACATAGCTGTTATATGCTTGTGCCCCCTAAATAAAAACGTCTGATGACCTATTTTTTACTTGTCAAGGAATTTTGGTAGTTATTAGTGCCCCCCCCCCAACTGAAAATGTATGGTTGTGCTCCCTCAAAGTGAAATTGCTTCCTATGGGCCTGGGAACGTCTTTCTGTCTTTGTTTTTGAGGGGGTTTGTTTGTTGATGTGGAGATAACGGTTGCAACAGTGCACAGAAACCGGGTTATGTAACTTTTTTCTGCAATAGACTGCAACCGTTATCACCGCATTAATACTCGCAGTACTTGATAGGTGGTCATCCAAATAGCTAATGAAATTCAATCCATCCAAAACAAAAGCATTCTTTTTACACTAAAGTATTATTATATAGGGTAGATCTAACTATTATTTTTCTGCAAACTATAATTGATTAGAATGCTTAATCTCTCACATATATGTAGGACTACTATTTAGCCATGGTCTTAACTGCTTTGAACACATAAATAATATAGTTAAGGGGCCTACCAAAGAATACTTAGTAGTTTGTAGTAATAGTCATCCAAAGTTGATCCCGACAAACTCTGTATAATATAGGTCAACTTAAGAATTTTATGCATACTAGTGTACAGTATATAGCATAAAATCACTGGCGGATTTAGAGGGGAACCCCCCTCCTTTTTGTGTCCAAAATATACATAAGATTTAATAAATCATTTTTTGGGTGTGGTTGTGGGTCCCTACCCCGACCCCCAACTGGTCGCCCCCCCCCTTCAAGATTCCTGGGTCCGCTACTGAAAAAAGTATCATAAAGTAATGGACAAAAATGTGTAAGTCTCAACATCATCAATTAAAATGATTTGACCTTGACCTTTGAGATATCACCAACAATCAAGGTCTTACATATTTAGGTCATCAGCAACCACGGCATGCCCAATTAAGAATGAAAATATTGCCATAGTTGCCAAAGTTATAATCCTTACACGTGTTTCTTCATGCAGTTGCCAGGTGATCCTGACTTTTAAATGACCAGGGGCCCGTTTTACAAAACAACTTACGACTAAGACCAAAAACTTTAGTTGTTTGTAAAATTTTGCAGAATTAATGATTTGGTCAAAATTTCTAGCATAAGAATATCTTTCTGCGTTCCTGTTAGAAAGAATAAAACCATTTTCAATTCAATGTAAATAAAAGAGTTATAAGCAGAATAAAATTTTGGTCTTAGTCGTAAGTTCTTTTGTAAAACGGGCCCCTTGATTGAAGATCATGGCGTATTTTATACATAGGTCACCGGTAACTACATGTAGAGTTTTTGAAATCTTTTTCAATTTAGGGTTCGAAAGTTTTGGCTCTGATGAATTTGTTACGGACAGCTATGCCAAACCAATAAATCTTCTCCCCTTGAAAAGGACATAGTAAAGTTTAATTTAGAGACAAGTATGCATCTAAGAAAAAAAGATCTATTTAACCTTTGCAAAGTTTATGTCTTTTAACTCATTTCAATGTCAAAATCTTAAGCACAATCAAATTGAAAAGAAATAAATGTTGTTTAATATGACATTTTTTCCCCCGCCAGGAATCAAAATTATAGATTACACCGAAATTGTGGTTATTGGTTTTTAAGTTCCGGATTAATTTGGCGTCCATATATATAGGCCTAAATACCTCAGTGTCAAATAATCGGAATCTCTTGTTATATTCCACTTGTTTAAATTATAGAATTCTCTAAGGAATTGCTATATTTTGTTTGAAAGAACGCCGTACTACGAGATCTAACTGAAGGACCCCCCCCCTCCCCAAGTTTGTTCTGAATCAGTTATAATACCGCCTGCTCAAAGTTGTACATTTCAAGTATGAATATGTAGAAACATATAATACTAAGTAAAAACTCAAAACTGACATAAAAAATATAGTGATTTCAGATTTCAGGAGTAATATATCTTGTGTGTTCAGAAGAAAAACCAAAACCAAAACAAAAACAAAACAAAACAAAACAAACAAACAAACAAAACAAAACCAAACCAAAAAAGTGCTAAAATAAAGTATCTTGACCGCCTAACCAGCAGATTGAGGCAGTGACATTAAGAAAAAAATTAGTTTAATCATATTTTATTTGAAAATATTTTTTTTTACAAGCATAAGGTACAGACATGCAGTGGGTGAAGATCAAATTCATAAAAATATTAGACAGCATCTAGCTGTAACAAAAAGCTTGCAAATGACTATGAAAAATCAAGAAAGTGATTTAAATTAGACCCAAGCCAGAACAAAATCTTCTGACTGAGATGAATAAATGAATGAATGAATGAAAAAAAATTAAATAAATAAATAAATAAATAAAATAAAAGATAAAAAATAAAATAAAATAAATAAATTAATTAATTATTTAATAACAATAGATAGATAATCAATTAATTTTGAATTAATTTCATACTCACTGATTTTGAACTAAATCGTAATTTATTCCTGTTCGGTCATGCATTCTTTACAAAGTAACATTGGGCTTTGAAAGGTAAAATATTTTTATTTCGGTTTACCGACATGAATAAGTCAGTCAGGGGTTTTTATTATCCAAACCAGTTCCTATGTTTGTAACGAGCATTTTCTTTTTTTCCCTCCGGCAAGTCACGTGACTGTGAAAAGGCGGGTAACCACAATTTAGGAAGCCATTTTCTTTTTCGCAAGGAGAGCCGGCGTGTGAAATAAGCGGAATACAGGGCCTTGTAAAGTACATCGTCTCGAGATGGCAACACCAACAAAATCGAAGCCTTCAACTAGTGGGGGTACATCCCCTGGAAGGCGTGCCAGACAGGCATCCCCAGCTCGCATCTCACGCCAAGAGGAGAAATCCCAGCTACAGAATCTGAATGACCGATTGGCAGCGTATATTGACAGGATCCGTAATTTAGAAACAGAGAACAGTCGTTTACTAGTGCAGGTGCGGTCATCGGAGGAAACAGTTACGCGGGAGGTGTCCAGTGTCAAGTCTATGTATGAAAAGGAATTGGAAGATGCGCGTCGTGTTTTAGATGATACAGCCAAAGAAAAGGCTCGATTACAAATTGAAAACGGAAAACTTAAAGCAGACGCTGATGAGTGGAAAGGAAAGTAAGTGGGGATTTAAACTATTACGTAAGACATTTTAAATTTGTGTCTCTAGTGTATTCTGTTCCACTTGTCTGCTTTTGTAGGACATTTAAAGAATGGGTGAGTCATCCCTTGGGATAAGCCTGGCACATGTTTACCACGCTACGAGTGTATTAAGCTACTTAGTGTTCTGTTTATTTTGTACATTCAGCATACTGAATTCGCATTTATAGGTACCATAAAAATGGTTTTGTTTTAATGACTATTTTCTGTAAATTGTTATTAAATATATATTTAGTCTCAATTTGTTTAATTTGAAGTTATTTAGATTTAGCAAATACTGTTTTAATAGAAGTCTTAAAACCTGTGTGTTAATTAATATCCTTGTGAGAAACTCCTGCTGTTATCTCAAACTGTTTACAGATTCAAAAAGAGAGATAGGGAGGCTAAAGATGCTGAAAACACCGCCCAGAGATTGCAGAAGGAAAATAGTGACCTTCAGTCCCGAACAAGTGATGCAGAGGCAGCCAGGAAAGCACTGGACACTGAAGTTAATGTACGAGAAATTGAAGCTTATTTCTTAAACACTGTTGTCATTATGAATATAAGGACATGTACAGTACACAAGTTCAGAATTTATTTATTACATGCAGAGATTACTTCTTAAGGTTTCAAAGGAAAATTGTCCCTTGTTTATCTTTTGATCTTGAACATGAAATTCTTAAATTGTTAAGCCACAGTTTTTTAATTTCTTGGTTTATGGATTTTTTCCCCTAAAAAAAATTAGGGTAGTTTTGGAAAAATGAAGCATTCATTTTAATGACAGAAATGCTGGTATAAATATACAATGACAAGAAGCAAGACCATTACCTAGGTCTATTACGAGTATTTATTTCATTCAGACACTTCTTTTTCATGATGCCATACTAGCTTTGTCATCTACAAGAATTAATCATACTTTCAGGTCATTGTTACCTGTTTTCTTTGGCTTGTTTAAAAATATGACTTACAAATATACTACAATTTCAGGGACAAATTTGGACCAAAAATTTAGGGAGACCAGCTCTCTCTCCAAGCAAATAAAATAGGGCCTAAAAAAAAAAAAATTGTGTGTTTCGGGTAACACTGATGAAAAAATTGGGGTAGGTAGGTAGGGAAATTTTTTTTTTTTTTTTTAATGAAATGACCACTGCAACAAAGATATAAAATCATGAGAATATTATTGTGTATTTTATTTCACTCCGACATGTTTGAAAAACATCAGACAACAAAATTTTACATATCAGCAAATACGAGTGGTTAAGTTTCAAATATGTGTTCGACCCTTGTGTTTACGACTTGAGTGATTTCGTTCTGAATCCAAAAGATAACAGTTAATGGATAATTTAAAATTCTTTTATTAAATTTCTCTTCTGCAAGGGAAAGCTTTCATTTTAACACAAATCACATATTCTTAAATCAGAGTTTGAAATAACCGTACGCCCGACCGCCTGAGACGCATAAATTTTGCAGCAGGCGAACAAATTTGCATGTATTGACGCCCGGCTGGACGTGTTGAATTAAAATTTCGATAATTAAAATTCATATATTTGTTAAATCTCTTTCATATCAACTAATAGTTTCAGCAGCAAAGTGTAACAAACCAAGAGGAAGAATTCATCAGTCTATAGATTCTGGTTTGAAGTTATGATAATCAGTGGTTCGAGTCGCATAATCGTTAATTAAAAAACAAATTTATAAAAGACCATTATTTTCTCGGGATAATCATACTAAGTAGATCTTTGGCAGATATGCATTTGAATTCAGAACAATATCATCTTTATTTATACCATTCATTATTGCAATTTTGAAGCAATTATATTTTTACCACTTAAGGTTTTTGATCTTCAAAGAAGGCTGTAATTGTGTGAATGTTAATTATCTATTTCCTGCGTTTAAGGGTTCTTACCAAAACATTCAGACAGGCTTTCTTCTATGAAAAAAGCGATCAAAAATATTCTAATACACATATATCAAAATCTATGATTTTAAGAAAAATCTTTTAGAAAGATAGAAAATAATTTTTAATATATGTACTTATTCATCATTCGTGCTATTTGTATGACAGAAACAATCTAATTGACAGCTCCCATACATCAGTATGTTTACCACACACCTGTGTGTTTGTAAACACGTTGGTTCATATTAACCTGTGTGCTTGTATACACATGTTGGCTTATACATACGCAGTACGAAACTACACGGGTCGAACACGTAATCGTTACGTAACCCACCAATACCATTTCAACTATGTCACTAAACTTTTAAATTACAGAAAATTATATTATTCAAAAGATTTCCCATTCCATGCTGTCGGACCCGTCATAAAAACGCTTGCATATTGATTTAAATATCGTTAATGTTCACTATAAGCCAAAGCGTTTTAAAGACGTTTCTTAGGAATGAGAAAAAAATATTCTGATAAAAAAGGATTTTACATATAAATAATAGAAATTTTAATCGGATAAATACAGAGATCGAAAAAAAACGTTAGGATCGGCGCATTTTTATAGGTTAGGTCGGGTTACCCTAAACACACAATTTTTTTTTTCAGGCCTAGGGAGAAGTTTTAAATATTGGGGAGACTTGCACACTCCCAAAGTTGACAACCAACTTCCTCCATTTTTTAAACCCTTTAAAAAAAAAAAAAAAAAAAAAAAAAAAAGGTGAGGTGAATTTAAATTTTCTGATTAATTCCAGTTCAAATCTTAAGTAGAAAGAAGTCAATATGCAGCATATCAAACAGATGAACATTACATCATTGATTTTATGACCAGTTGCAACATTTAACTAGTGTTTAAAATTGCACGAATGTTATAACTTATTTCAAAACATTGGTGATCATTTCTTAGATGTGTTGCAGCGCTTACTCTTGTAGCTCGAAGATATGATCCCATGTTGTTTTTAAGAACTACCACTGTGCAAAGGCTTTAATGGGGTCTATTTATTACATTTTCTTCTTGCTTTGATTAATTTGAGAAAGATCTGTAAAATTTAAATCATATGTTATTTTCATTTTGAGTTTTACTTGTAAAACAAAGATGGCATATTAAAATAATCAGTTTCCTTCAAAATATTTTTTTCTTCCAATTCTCGAAATTTGGGTCGCAGTGCCATAAACTCAGAAATTAAAACACTGTGGCCTTACCTGGAGAAGCAAAGACTTCAAAACGTTTCATCTGATGAATTTGAATTTACAAGGTATTTAATTAGGTCTGAAGATGATATATGACCATGAAGTCAGTTGCGAAAAACATTGACAATTTTGTAGAATCTGAGAGGAGAGATAGCCACTCTAGAGAGTCAACTTGCACATGCAAAGAAGCAGTTGGAGGATGAGACTCTCCTAAGAGTTGACTTGCAAAACAGACTTCAGAGCAGCAAAGAAGAACTGCAGTTTAAATCGCAGATGTATGAACAGGTAGGTAACTGTACTAGGTACTTAAGCTGATAGTAGGTTTCCATCCTTTAATTGTTGGTAATCCTCTTTTATTACCTGTTTTTATACACACTTGGCTAGTAATAAGTCTGGCAATTTAGCCCCATAAACTGTTTCATGATTTCAATGTTCTGTTTGCATTATGTAATATGCATATTTGAAAATCAAACATTTAGCAGTTTAAACTTTATAGTTATTTGCCAGTCAACACTCATTCAGACTTCATATGTTAGCAATGTATAAAAAGAAGGGATGTACTTACTGGAAGTTATGGGTAACTTTATAGTAATTTAGAAAATTCAATGAAAGAATTGTTGTTGACCAGTTAACTAATTTATAATGTTGCATTTATTTCAGCAACTGAGTGAGAGGTCAGTAAAGACAACAACAGAGTATGATGACGTTGATTCTGCTCTCAGAGAAGAGTATGAGAGTAAGATGCAGGAAGCCTTGCAGGAAATGAGAGAGAAACATGATCAGCAGCTCCAAGAAGTTAGAGCAGAATTGGAACTTATTCATGAAAGACAGGTTTGTCAAATTATTTGTTTTTTTTTCTCCAGTACTGCAAAGTATTTTACAGCATACTTGTTTTGGAGTTATGTATTAAGAACAATAAGATGTACGAGGGCTGTTCGGAAATTATTGAGACATTGTGTATATTCTTCTTTCTAATGAACTTTTTGCGGTGAAAATTTGCATATACGTTTGACAAACTCTAAGAAGTAATAAAAACAAGAAATATTTTAAAAATATTTTATTTCATCTTTTCAATGGAATATTAATGTGTCAGTGGTAGGGGTACCCGGCGCAGTCACGAAATCGGATATTGAAAATATGTAACACCAACGTTAAAACTCCCAGTGGATACATAGTAAGAGCGAAAATAATTCAAATTATGTATATAATATTTCAATTTAACTTTGACTTCATTTTGTGCAAGTTTGTTAAAATTTCGATCAGAAATACGGAGATCATTAAAATATTTACGCGCGGTATAGCTATCTGATAACGATGACAAAACGGATTTTCTCGTGAAGGCGGAGCAGCGATCATACCTAAAATTTTGTGTAGCGGTATTGAGAACTCTTGTCCAGACTAAACGACCTGCTAAAACAATAACAATGCAATAAAACAAGTCTAAGGGTTTATTGTTTCATTGGTATATATCATTTTCTTACAAATAATTCAACCAGAGTAAAAATAAAAGCCCCGGACGACCATCAATTATTACGGACTAAATAACGTTGACCCGCGTTGCATAACTCGGTACTGCATGATGCTAAGTCAACCTGTATTTGACACTTTTTGTGTATTTTACACTGGGGTAGCAACAGCATTTTTTTTTTTTTTTTTTTTTTTTTTTTTTTAAAGAATCGATTAAGAATTATAAGACACAGTTTGATTTTTGAAATGTTATATGTAATGATAGAGGAAGTAGATTGAATGCACAATGAGAATATATCGGCTGACCTGACGTTAAAATGACGTAGCGATGCTGCTCCAGGTCAGTAGACATATGCTTGTTTATAATTTCACCGGAACTTATTCAATTATCCTATAAATTAGAAATTTTGTACATTTGTTTTATTTGTTCTTTAAAAAACGTTGACGAATTTTTATGAATTTATCTCTGTCCTTTGTGGAGTAAAAGTATTTGTCTCAATAATTTTCGAACAGCCCTCGTAATGATTATGTTTTTATGAATTTTTTTTTTTTTTTTTACTTTTTTAAATATAAAGAGATTTGAAAATTATGGTGCATGACAAGTTGCAGATCTCAGTATTGATAATCTTACGGCTAGTGTTGAGTGTTCTTGATCAAGTTTATCTTTTGTGGAAATTTAACGCTTTTCAGCAGGGCTCAACATTAAGGCATGTCCAACTGACTCGGTAAAAGTAAAAGTTTGGTCAAGTCTAGTTTACACTTACAATATTATTTGACTATGTTTTTTTTTCAGTGTTAATATTCGTGTAATATTAATTAATTCAACGAACCACAGATATTAGTGAAGTTACGGTCAGGTCTAGTAAAATTTTATGTACAAGTCTGTTCTCAACAAAACCCTCAACAAAATAAATCTCATTATCTGCTGCATTCTCCCAAGTGTTGGTGATCTCTTTAATGTCTTTAAGTTTACAACTTAAGATACAGAGCCTTTGGAATACTGTTTGGTATCCTCGCATGGGAATCTTCCGTAATTTCAAATAAATTTTTAACCAAACTGGACTCAGTTTTACTGAAAATCATGGAGTTTTATTTTGGAGTCTTTAGATTGTGTAAATTTTAGCTTATTTCATTGAAATTTTTAATGTTTATTAAGTTGTGTATATTTTTTTTTCTTCAAAACTACTATTGATTGTGACTTTTTATGGGTTTAGAATTCAGAAAGTTTGAGGGAAAAAAAACCCCATTTATTTTTGAAAGTAAATATATATTGAGAAAATTTTAGCATCGGCCTCTATGAAAGTATGCATTGTAAAGAATTGTTGCCACAGCTGGGGTCATTAGGGGACTTTGTTATTTCAGCAGTGTGTCAGAATTTTTATTCATATAATTATATGTTTAATTCTTAATGTCTTTACGCCATTGTCTCACTTGTTTAAATGTTAGGTGTAAGTTCTAAACTGTAAACAGCAGAGTCTCTGTTACATGTTAACACTGATAAAAAAAATGAGTGAATTTTCACAGTCTTCTCTGTTTGTATTTTAAATCTTAAAATCAGAAACCATTTACTCAAGTAAATATGTAGCTTAAGCATGACAAAATCTCAATCCTAGGTGGGCAATCTGAAGAGTGCCTTGGACAGAAGTATGAGTGGACCCATTGCTTCTACAGACGAAATTAAGATTACAAGGAGGAGAGTTGATGAGTTGTCATCAGAAGTCACCAAATTAAAGAAAGAGGTATACTGTCTCTACTTCATTAATTACATAAAACCATTATTTATGATTCTGTTTTAGCTTCATTATTACTTATGAAATATTAGTTCATGGAAATCGGAAGAAAATCATAATCGATTATCGGTAATAATCGGCTGTACATAATCGATTAAAAATTGATTATAATCGAATTTTAACTAAATGAAATAAATATAAAAAAGTAAAACTTATTCAGATTTAAGTTCAGATTTATACAAAAAAAATTATTCAATTAATTATATTCATAAATGTTTATTATTTTTATGCCCCGCCATGAATATGGCCGGGGCATATAGTGTTTGTCATGTCCGTTTTCCGTCCTTCCGTCTGTCCTTCCGTCACACTTTGCGTTTAGCTCTGTTCAAAGCTCAGTTTCAAAGAAACTATCCAAGATATTTTTATCAAACTTCATGTGCTGATAGATATTGATGAGAGCTATGCAACTGCATCAACATTTTTTGACCTTGACCTTTCCTTTGACCTTGACCTCACTTTTCTTAAATTAGTGTTTAGCTCAGTTTTAAAGATACCATTCAAGATAGTGTAATCAAACTTCATATGTTGATACATACTGATGTAAGCTATTTAACTGCATCAATATTTTTTCACCTTGACCTTTCCTTTGACCTTGACCTTACTTTTCTCAATTTGTGTTAAAATGTTGCATTATTAATATACCCTGGGCGGGGCATTTATGTCCTATGGACATATTTCTAGTTTTTTTATGCCCCCGGATCGAAAGATCCCGGGGGTATATTGTTTTTGTCCTGTCTGTCTGTTTGTCTGTTTATCTGTTTGTCTGTTTATCTGTTTGTCTGTCTGTCCATAACCTTGCCCATAACTTTCGATTGGTTGGAGCTATGACTTTCATATTTCACGTGTATTCCTTGTGACAAAACCTTTCTTTGGGTACCATCATATTTGACCTTTTGACCTTGACCTTGGAGTTTGACCCACTTTTGCAAAATTTTATGAGACATAACCTTGGCCATAACTTCTGAACAGTTGGTGCTTGGGGTTTCAAACTTCACATATGTTTTCTATGTGACAAGGCCTTCCTTTGGATACCAACAACTTTGACCTTTTGACCTTGACCTTGGAGTTTGACCTACTTTTGAAAAACTTTAACCTTGGCCATAACTTTTGAACGGTTAGAGCTAGGGCTTTCATACTTCACATATGTATTCCTTGTGACAAGACCTTCCTCTGGATATCAACCTCTTTGACCCTTTGACCTTGACCTAAGAGTTTGACCTACTTTTGAAAAACTTTAACCTTCGCCATAACTTTTGAACAGTTGCAGCTAGGGCTTTCGAATTAAACATTTTTTATCTTTTGGCCTGGATTTTGACTTGCATTTGAGAAACTTTAACCTTCGCCATAAGTTGCCATACGGGGGCATCAGTGTTTCACAAACACATCTTGTTTTTTTTTTTTTTTTTTTTTTTTTTGATGGTTAATTGATAATGAGTAAATAACTCATATCTTGTGAGTTTTGCATCAGTAAACCAATAACATTACTAAGCTACATAAAATGACGAGTTTTGTCAAATTAAAACAGTCATTGATTAGTTACCTTTGGCAGAGTGTCAGCTCCTATTCTGGTGTGCTATTGTTGTAGAGAAAGTATTTTCTTAATGGAACATCTGTCTAATTTGCACGTGAATAATACATTTAGCCTTTACATTTATAAACATATGAAATGTGTATAAAACCTGAATTACATTGTAATTTTAAGGAAATTTGATAAATTAATATGAACATGCCCTAGATGTTATAACCTATTTATATCTAAATCTTCAATAATTATGGCAGAATGCAGCATTAGAGGCTCAAGTGTTAAACCTGCAGTCTCGGTTGGGACGGGAACAAGAGGAGTTTGAAGAGCGACTTGCCCTGAAAGACCAGGAGATTTCAGATCTTAGAGCTGCCATGGAAGAGCAGAGTCAAGAGTATGCTGACATTTTAGAGGTCAAGATTAAACTGGACAATGAAATTACCACCTATAGAAAGCTATTGGAGACTGAAGAGGAAAGGCAAGTAGTATCCATATAGATCTGAACTGTAAATAAAGTTTGTACATTTGGATAAAGTTGTAGCTTGGTTATATTTACTTTTTAGCTCACCTGAGCCAAAGGCTCAAGTGAGCTTTTCTGATCAAAATTTGTCCGTTGTCTGTCGTCATTGTCGTTAACTTTTCACATTTTCATCTTCTTCTCGAAGAACCACTGGGCTAATTTCAACCAAACTTGCCACAAAGCATCCTTGGGTAAAGGGGATTCAAGTTTGTTCAAATGAAGGGCCACGCCTTCTTTCAAGGGGAGATAATTATGAATTCGTGAAAAATTAATGGCATCATTTAAAAATCTTCTTCTCAAGAACCACTGGGCTTGAAAATATGAAACTTATGTGGAAGCATCCTCAGGTAGTGTAGATTCAAGTTTGTTCAAATCATAACCCCCGGGGCTCGGTTGGGGCCACAATGGGAGATCAAAGTTTTACATAGGAATATACATAAAAAATCTTTAGAAATCTTCTTCTCAAGAACAGTAAAGCCTTGATTGGTTATATTTATATGGTAGCATCTTCAGGTAGTGTAGATTCTAGTTTGTTCAAATCATGACCCCCGGGGGTAGGGTGGAGCCACAATGGGAGATCAAAGTTTTACATAGGAATACAGAGGAAAATCTTAAAAAATCTTCTTCTCAAGAACAGTAAACCCTTGATTGGTTATATTTATATGGTAGCATCTTCAGGTAGTGTAGATTCAAGTTCGTTCAAATCATGACCCCCGGGGGTAGGGTGGGGCCACAATGGGAGATCAAAGTTTTACATAGGAATATACAGGAAAAATCTTTAAAAATCTTCTTCTCAAGAACAGTAAAGCCATGATTGGTCATATTTATATGGAAGCATCCACAGGTAGTGTAGATTCAAGTTTGTTCAAATCATGACTCCTGGGGGTCGGGTGGGGCCACAGTGGGCGATCAAAGTTTTACATAGGAATATACAGGGAAAATCTTTAAAAATCTTCTCAAGAACAGTAAAGCCATGATTGCTTATTTTTATATGGAGGCATCTTCAGGTAGTGTAGATTCAAGTTTGTTCAAATCATGACCCCTGGGGGTCGGGTGGGGCCACAATGGGCAATCAAAGTTTTACATTTTGGAATATGGAGGAAAAATCTGTATATATCTTCTTCTCAAGAACAGCAAAGCCATGGTTGGTCATATTTAAATGGAAGCATCCTCAGGTAGTGTAGATTCAAGTTTGTTCAAATCATGACCCCCTGGGGTAGGGTGGGGCCACAATTGGCTATCAAAGTTTTACATTTTTTTGGAATACATAAGAAAAAATCTTTAAAAATTTTCTTTTCAAGAACGACAAAGCCATAATTAGTCATATTTAAATGGAAGCATCCTCAGGTAATGTAGATTCAAATTTTGTTCAAATCATGAACCCCCCAGGAGAATAGAGGGGCCATAACAGGGGATCATAGTCAAACAAAGAAATACAAATGATATATCAATTAAAATTGTCTTCTTAAGAACAGCAAAGCCATTATTTGTCATATCAATTCAAAAGCATCCCTATGAAGTATAGATTCAAATTAGTTCAAATCAACACTCTCCACCCCTCACACCCTCTTTTATCAATAGATTGGGAGATTTAACTGTAAGAATTTTGTTTATAGAATATGAAATGTTAAATTTGCAACTAGAGGTGTTTTTCATTTTTTTTCAGATTGAACATGTCACAGACTTCATCTCCTGGATCTACTCCAGGTAGCAGGAGGGGACACAAAAGAAAAAGAGTAGCTTTGTCACAGCAAGTCCAGGAGTTTGAATCTCATTCTACCTCAGGGTTTTCTGCACAATCTGATGCAAGTGGCAATGTAAACATTGAAGAAATTGACACAGATGGGAAATTTATTCGGCTTCACAACACCTCCCATGAGGTGAGTTTGTTGTATCAAGAAAAACCACTTCAGTTTGCAGAAATTTATTTTTGCAAGACAGTAGCAGACCAATGGTTACCATATACTTGGACTGTTTGGAAATAGAGAGACATTTACTCTAACTCTATAAGAAAGAGATCAATTCATGAAAATCTGCAACATTTTATCAAGAACAAAACAAATGTGCAAAACTTCTGGTTAATTGTGTTATTAAATAAGTCCTAAGGAAATAAATTTGCATATGTCCATTGACCTCCATAAAGATTATCGCTGCTACATAAATTTAAAGTCACTTTAAGAGTTGTCGCAATTTTTACCGTATATACTCGCCTATAAGTCGGTTGTATTTTTTGAGGTTATGTTGGATGGATTTGCCATTGACCCGCCTATAAGTCGGTACAACTTTTTGCCAGAATCGGTTGACAATTTCAAATCAATGCTCCCATGTTTTAACCTGGTTTAAATTAATATTTCTAGATATGGCGCCGATATTTAATTTTAAATCATTATACAAATAAATAATGCTCATTTAAGATAAAAATTAAATTATAAAGACTTGTAAATACTTGTACTTTACAGGGTTCTCATTAACGCAAGAATCTGCGTCCTAGACGCAGCAAAATTACTTGGGACGCAAGGTTCTTAAAAACGATGTGTCCGCGGACTCATGATCGGACGCGTCCTTGTTAGCGAGAAAATTCGGGTGATTTCGAAAACGGGGGATTTAGATGTAAGGATTTGTCAAAGAAATATTTAATCGAAACCTTCCGGTAACTATCATAAAGTTTATCCAAGAAACAACTTTTCTTTTACTTATTTCTCTTTTTTTTAAAACAGGGATCGATCATAAGATATTTCATGTTTATTAGTCCATAGTTATAATAGTGTCGCATGCCAAACTCCGACAGCTGTAAACACACTGCAGCTTTTTTAAAAAACACTTTTGAATCTTGAGTGTTATCTACATGTAGAAACCATAATTACTGCTTGTATACACAATGCGGCTTGATTATCTCGTGAATTTCACCCAGTGCAGACGACCGACAGGATTAGTTATGCCTCATTGCACATGACACCTGTGATTGTATACAGGCAACTTCTGGGTACTAATTGATTATGCAACAGTTAATTTTAGCTTTATAAACACCAAGTTATTTGTATGGCAATTGATTATGTGTGTATTTTAGAATATGGCTTGAATGCATTACCAGTTTATATACTTGAATATGTTAATATTGCGTAAACAAACTGATAAAATGATAAAGATTTTTATTGATGTTTGGATGGAAGGATACTGCAATAATTTAGTTGGGACTAAACATAATTTTTCTGGGACGCATCAAATTTAGCTGGGACGCAACCTTCTCAGAAATCTTGAGTCCTGGGACTCAAGTTAGCAAAATCCTAGTGAGAACCCTGACTTTATGTATAATCTTAGAATACATAAATGATACACTATATTCAGAATTTATTCAACGACAATCGTCGGAATCGTTCTTGAAATACTACATCTGGTTATTCAGAAAAATACCAGTTTTTAATGACTCGCCTATAAGTTGGACACAGAGTTTTGGACCAAAATTTAACTCCCAAAAAACCGACTTATAGGCGAGTATATACGGTAAATCAAATTTAAGGACATACGCACATACCTTACCTACTGATAATTTTTCAAGATATTCTTAATTTAAAATCATTATACCATTAGATGTTCACAGACAAAAAATCAGCATGCATTACCAGAGGTTTTGAATAGATATCAAATGATAAAAATTCTTGTATTAATCAAAGAAAAATACACAAAAAATACTATACATATATTTTAGATATTTTTTCATCCAAATTTGTTTTAGAAGAGGTATACAGCACCATATATAGACATTAAAAGAGTTGCACACAAACCCTTCTAGTATCGGAACTCTTCAACTCTGGGGGGAAAAAAATAAAGTTCAAACTACGTTGCGTATGTCCTTAAGACAAATATTCTGTCAGACTGAAGAAGTTTTTTTCCAGACCAGCTACATGTACCTTATTTTGTGCTGAGAAGGGGGAAAATAACTGCACCAAAATTCCCTTATTTTCAAAAGTGTAGTTTCTTTTAGGATAGAGCGTCTTTAATCAGAGACACAAATGACATGATGAATATCTCTGCTTTAACAAATTTGATGAACCATCACCACCACGCAGCTATCTCTGCTGTTTTTAGGTCACCTGAGTTAACTCGGGTGACCTATTGCTATCTGTTTTCGTCCATCGGCATGCGTCATCCTTCTTGCGTTAACATTTGAACATTTTCAGCTTCTTCTCTGGAACCACCCAACCAATTTCAACCAAATTTGGCATATAGCATCTTTAGGTGAAGGGGAGTAAAAATTGTGAAATTCATGACCCCCCCCCCCCCCCCCCCCCCGGGCCTGAGGAGTTGGGCTAAAACCATCAAAATTAATGCAATCTTTAAAAATCTTCTTCTTTACTCTTGGACATTAAGCAGTCAAACTGTTGACATGATTGTAATTTGTAATAAGCATTGATCCCTCTACCAAAATTGTGAAATTTATGGCCCCAGGGTCAGGGGTTCTGGTGCTAGGGTGGGGCTCTATTGAATATATAGTGAAAATGCATTATTTCTTTAAAAATCTTCTCCTCTGCTGCTGGGTATTAAGCAAACAAACAATATGCATAGTTATGATGAGGAAGGTGCTTCTAAAATTGTGAATTTCATGGCCCCAGGGTCATGGGTTCTGGTGTTAGGGTGGGGCTCTGTTGAATATATAGGGAAAAAGCATTATTAAAAATCCTCTTCTCTAATCCAGGGCAAACAAACTGAATGCATAGTTATGATGAGCAAGGGTGTCTCTTCCTATATTGTGAATTTCATGGCCCCTGACTCAGGGGTTCTGGTGTTAGGACGGGGCTTTAATGATTACATAGTAAAAATGCAAAATTCTTTGACAATTTTCTCCTGGGTATTAAGCCGATGAACTAAGAGTATAGTAATGATGACATTGTGTGACGTCAGAGTCTAAACCTTTCAAATGTCAAGTGTGGTTTGAAGAGGTGAATCTAAATTAAAACTGAATAGGTAATTGTGCTTGCCCTAATGGTCACACCGTCAGCATATTAATAAAAAAGAAATACTGAATAAGTGTAACTCAATCTTATATATTTTACTTAGGCAAAAAAATTTGTGTTTTTTTTTTTCTTTTTCCCAAATTTAAAGATGTGTTTATCCCAGATTCTCATTAAACGAGGCCAATACGCAAGTTTCAAGATTATCTCTCTTGGTGCACTCTTTTGTTACGGAGAGGAGTTTTGTTTCCGCATAAACTAGCAGGTGTGACAGTTTTTTATATTGAATACGTAACAACACTGATACTGGTCAATCACAACTGTTTGTCGGGTTGATGATATTGCACTGATCAACTCGAAAATATCCTAATTTAGGTAAAGGCGTCGATTTTTTTCTGCCCCCCAAAAAATAGGACAAAAGAAAATGTCTGGATAATTAAGACTTATGAGACGATGGAAGAAACAGTGTCCTATTCATAAGCATCCGATCATTGCACGTTGGCATTCCGAATGACACACCCACACTTTCCATTATAATATTTTCGAAGAGCTGACAATTTTTACAAAAGGTTTGTACAATCAAGGAAGCGTCTTTTTCCCAAATACCATGAATACTATGATGGTTCTTTAGTTTCCAAAAAGTAAATTTTGTAAAACATGTAAAGTACAGCTCAATATAATCAACAAAATCAACACAGCTTGGCATTATCTACTTGTATAATCTTTTTATAACATTAAATTTATATTTGAAAAGCCCTAACCATTGTTCATTTATTTATGCACTTTGTGTGCATCGACAACCTGTTCCACTTCCATGCTGATATGGGTACTTTTTGCACCTCTATCGTAGGAGAGCTATAATCTCGAAACTTAAACGTATTAATCACTGTCATGCCCATTGTCTTAAGTAACAGACCAGAGTCCACTCATAGCTCTCTACTACCTGTGGCCAGAATGAGAGAGGATTGTTAGCTCTACTAGTCAGAGACCAGAAGAGCTTATGCGATAGTAAGGTGTCTGTCGTCCGTCCGTCCGTCTGTCTGTCTGTCTGTAAACAATTTTTCAAAACGCTACTCCTCCTACATTTTGGTCTGATACCAGTATTACTTGGCATACAAGTAGACTATACTAAGATACATAGTTCTGTGTATCAGTTTTTGATTTCAATGAATGATGTTGCCATGGTTACTAAAAATAGAAATTTATGTGAAATGCTTTCAAAATGCTACTCCTCCTACAGTTTTGGTCCAATTTTAGTATAACCTGGCACACAAGTAGACTACACTAAGAAACATAATTCTGTTTATCGGTTTTTAATTACAAGGAACGGTGTTGCCATGGTTACTAAAAATAGAGATTTCTTGGAAATGCTTTCAAAACACTACTCCTCCTACAGTTTTGATCACGTTTCAATATAACTTGGGAAATTAGTAGACTACACTAAGATACATAATTCTTAAGTTTATATTAGTTTTCGATTTCGATGAACGGTGTTGCCATGCTTACAAAAAAAAATAGAAATTTCTGTGAAATACTTTCAAAATGCTACTCCTCCTACAGTTTTGGTCTCATTTTAGTATAAATTGGCACACAAGTAGACTACACAAAGATACATAATTCTCTATATCAGTTTTGGATTTCCATGAACAGTGTTGTCATGGTTACTAAAAATAGAATTTTTTTGAAATACTTTCAAAACGCTACTCCTCCTACACTTTTTGCCTGATTTCAGTATAATTTGGCATTCAAGTAGACTACACTGAGATACATAATTGTCTTTATTGTTTTTTGATTTTGTTCAATGATGTTGCCATGGTTACTTAAATCGAAATTTCTGTAAAATTATTTTAAAAGGCTATTCCTCCTTCAGTTTTAGTCTGATTGCAATAAATCTTATCACAAAAAGAGACTAAACCAATGATCATTATTCTGTTTATTGCTGTTGCAAAGTTTCAAGTCCAAGTGCTACTATTATCTTCCTTTATAAGTACAACCAGTAGAGCTACAGTCTCGTCAGAGACTTCTGGTACATTTTGCTAGTGGTTTGCGACAATGCATCATATTTAGTATTACTTATTTCCTTTGCAATAAAACTTGGAGCTTTTGTGTTTTGCAGGATGTTGCTGTAGGAACATGGCAGTTACAACTGCGCCATTCAGAGGCAGATGATGCAGAAAATAAAGCACAATACAAATTTCACCATTCTCTCCAAATTAAGGCAGGGCAGATGTGTACAGTGAGTAAACAAACTTGGATTGCCACCTTGTAGTATAGCATCAAATTACATTATGTATTTGATTGTAGAAATATTTTGCTTTCAGAATAACCAAAATTTTATTATGAAATGGGAGCTTCTTGCAATAATGTGTAATTCATGATTTATGGCGATTGTTTTCCGCTTTAGGTATGGAGTTCTGGCACTGGTCAAACACATAACCCACCAACTGACCTTGTCATGAAAGGTACCAAATGGATCCCTAACAAAGATGTTATGGTGTGTGTTTTGGTCAACTCAGATGGAGAGGTAAGTGGAGAGGAATATTTATGCTCCAAGTAATACATACCAGTAATGTAAAGATAATTTTCACATTTTCAGAGATCAATTTGCTTCCTACCAGTCTGTTCACATGTAGGTTACCTGTTTTAAGCAAGAAAGGAACATGTTGTTGCTGTGTTTTAAGCTTTGATCCAAATGGCAGACAAATATTATGCATACAGTCTAGCAGAGTAATGGTTTTGGAAGTCCATAGTAAAAATTATTTGTTAGGCCTCAAAAAATTAATTTTTTTTTAAATTTTAGTATCTCAAATATGCTTATGGACCAGTGAATATTTGTGTGGACCAGTGATTTTCACTAAATCACTGGTCCACTAGACCAGTGAATTTTATTTTTTATTTGAAAAACTCTGGTTCATTATATGCATTGTTTTTTTTAATTTTTTATTTTTATTATCTTTTTGTATTTAAGATTTTTTTTCTCCCATTTAATACTAGGAAGTGGCAAGAAGAACAATGACAAAGAAGATTCAAAGGATTACTACCTCTAGTTACCGACCACTCTCGGGGTCTGAAACTGATGGATCAGGGGTAAGAGTTGCTCTATGATATTAGAAAGAGAGATGAAACAGCATAAAATTGAATTTGTGTTATTTCATTTTTAGCTCACCTGAGCTGAAAGGTCAAATGAGATTTTCTGATCAACTGTTGTCCACCATCTGTCCATCTGTCTGTCTTTAAACTTTTCACATTTTCAACTTCCTCGCAATAACCACTGGGCCAATTTAGCCAAAGTTGGCACAAAGCATTATTGGATAATGGGGATTCTAAATTCTTTAGATTAAGGGCCAAGCCCCCCCCTCCAAGAGGAGATAATCAAGAAAAGGCAATGAAATTTATTTAAGTTGTCGCTGTCAAATCGTAGCCAATTCCTTCTCTTTGCCATCTTTCAGTATAAACTTAACTTTGACCGCCGACAATAGTATTTGACTGTCTTGCATCAGCTTTGATAGCATACTCATGGTCCATGTTATCAGCACATTCTCATCCACAGAAATGTTGTTTATGTTCTAGGCCTATTATCTTTAATACCTCATCCTGTCTCTGTCAACCTAAAGGTTTTTTTTCCCCATCCTTTCCCTTTTAGTTAATTTCCTGTTACACTTTCCTCGTCTTTTGTTGATGAGACCGACTTGTACCAAAATATATACCGGATATTTAAAACGCCAATTAAAGTCAAACCAATGTAGTTTGAAAAATCACATCTCTGAAAAAGAAAGTGTGGTTCCGGTTTTGCTATTTGTAAATGGTGTAGTGCGAGTATAGATCTACTTTAATCTGAAATTGACGTAATTGATTTTCAGATAGAATAAACATATGTAGTTATAAATACCTGTAAGTGGAAATTTTAGCAAGACACAAATTTAGTGATTTTTCCTTAAAATTATTTTTTATCGAGAAGTAATTTTAGCGATTTGATGATGCCTATAAAAACAATGGTAAACTCCAATGCAGACTGAATTGTTAGCAGTATTCAATTTTAACGATCTCAATACCCTTGCTAAAAATGCCAAAATTTACTCCTTGCTAAAATTTCTATTTGTACGATACAACTAGATATTCGTGAAATCACTGTGCACCAACTGTGAGTATAATGAACACTTTATGATCTTGCTTTTCAGAGGGCAGGCTCAGATAGGTGTTCCATAATGTAGTAAATAAGGAATAGAATCCAGTGGAATCAGTCTGTGGATGATGGAGCCTCATTTTAAGATGTCCAGTCCACTTCATCAGGAATACCTAGGTTACTTATTACAATATACTTCTGTCTTGCCTTGGACCAATGTGTGTTGTGATCATTGTTAATGTGAACTATTGGATATAAGTGTCAATGTGTGCTAACAGTTGATTCAAGAAAAATCTTTTAAATCAAGATTTTATGGCAAGATATAGGAAATTATTTTGTTATTTTTCTTATTTCTTGTTAAATCAAGGCAGCAATTGACCATTGTTCAGTTCAAGGTTTCTCCAATCTTGATGTGTTCATTTAAAATGGGCATTACTTAAATTTTGCTTTGTGTTACCCCCTTAAAAGAATGAATGCACATTTGCTGTGAAATTTATTTTAGAAAATATCTTGTTTATTAAGAAAACAGTTTTGGAGGTATTGTAGAATATGTACACTTAGTGTAATAAAAACCAGTGGTTGTTAGCCACAGAAGAAATGTTTGTCAAGCGTACATTTATAACCCCACCTTGTATTTTATGCCATAAAGATATTAGAATTTTTTTTTTGAATAAGACATTTACATAATATTAATGTTTGTTGTTTTATTTTGAGTGTATTTAGACCAGTATATTTGTAGGGTCATTTTATTAAAATATATACAATTTTTTTTCTCTGTCCTTAGTGGACTTTTCATTCTGGAATTTTTGTTTTTCATAACTTGTTCTGTGAAATTTAACACAACGGTTGTGTAGCCTTTGTTTTAAAATTGGGGGAGTTTACATGATATGTCAGATCTAAATATCTCCACATTAGATGTAGTGACTATTTATTCTATGCTTTGGCTTGCTAAAGATTAAGGTTGTCCATCCCTCTGATAGATTCTGAAAATAAGCAGTTGAGTGACTTAAACTGCTGACCCTGAATTCAACAAATGTGTCAATCATGTTTGTATAGAGAGAATCTCATATTTTGGGGGGAAATTAATTCAAATTATTGATAGAAGTGATTTTTCTAGTTGAAAATTTGGAGATGAACATACTTGAGGGTAAAAAAAATTATATTCATGCATTTTAAAAAAAGTTGCATGCTTTTGATTTGGTAACGAGTTCCTCAAAAATGATTATTTCAGTCCACGTTTCAAGAGTAACATACCGGTATATCCATGTAAATGATAAGTTCAAGACTATTACTGTTCTTTGCAGAGGGATGGAAATCTTTTAAGTGCAAGTCTTGTTTCTCCACTATTTATGCTATATTTTGTTATTGTTTTGTGTAAACAACATATACTTCTATCTTTTATTAAAGTGTCTTCTTGAACAACATATCACAAAGTTTATATTTGATAAGTGTACATGTATCATGGTTGTCATTGTTCTGTATAAAAATGGGGCCAACTTTAAAAAATTGTTTGATTGCCCTATCCCTGACTAGAAATTGCTGGACTAAAAACTTTTTTTAACCTCCAGGAAACAATTTTTTTTTTTTATTAATTCTGAAAATTTCTCATCCTATTAAAACTGTGTTAACTTCATATTCATTGATATTTTTTTTTTTCGGGAGGGGGGGGGGGGGATTCTCCTACCTACCCAATTTTTTTTTTTTTCATCCTGAGTGGGGAGAGGGCAAGCAAACTTTTTTTAAAAGATGGCCTGAAGCAGTGACAAGAATTTACTTTATGATTTTAGTCAGGTAGCACTGCTTTAGATTGGTTTTCTGTCAAGAAAATGATGAGAATTTCTTCGAAATAGGGAAATCCATTCAGTAATGTGAAAATATTGTAACAAAAGTTTTATAAAATTAATGCAACTCCACAAATACATGCATTTTTTGGATTATTTTACACTATGTAGTAATAAATTATAAATGCAGTATTACTGGAGAAATGGCTGTCTATAGGCCTTTTTTTCCCTTTTTCATGTAATGTTGAGGAATTCTACAACTGCATGCACCAATGTTTTCTCCAATACTAGTTTAATAGCTTTCTATTGAAAAGTGCTTTTTGTGTAAGGTACATTCATTGTTTCATGGACTTGCAGGGTATTAAAGAAAATACTAGTATGGTGCAGTGTTCCAGCCTGTTAGATTTTGTGTTGTGTACCAATATTTTTTGGCATAGGGTTTTGAATTCATGACTCCAGTATGCTTATGCTTTTAATTAGCACAGTTTATTAAAATTTTTATATAGGCTTCATATTCAACCATTTACAGTAATAAACACTTTAAAATTAAACCTCTTGAACTCTCTTCTCTCTTTACAGCTCTGATCCTGTATTGAAGTATTTGCTGTAAATTACAGCAAATAGATAAAGACGATATATTAAGGAGCATTGACCCTCTACTCCAAATTTCAATAGAGATTCTGTGAAAATTTCATTGAATTGCATTCAGTGGTGTAAGAGGAGTTGCCAAGTGATGGCTACCCCAAGTGTACCAAAATGGGAAAGTCCATTTTTTGGTATGGGAAACCCAAATATATCTGATTGAGGATATAATAATTTAAAATAGGAGGACCAAACAGGGATTCGAACCTGGACCTCCAGTCAGGTGCTCTACCAACTGAGCTATCTGGCCACTAGGGATCCACCCCATCTGACTGCCACCTTATGTTTTTGTTGAGGTACATGTGAGACATTACTTCAGATCTCGAGAATTTCCTATGGAAAAAGTACTGTTTTGGGAGAAAAACTGCAGAACAGGTGCAGTTAATTGCTTGGGGGGAAAATGTGTGCATAGGTCCTGTGCACATCTGTTGCCATAAGACCCTTGCATTGTCTGTAATTTTGATCTATATTTCAAAATTTCTGCCTTATCCTTTGTCAAGTTACCATTAACAGGAAGTCCATTGAAACAGCTACTACAGTAGAAGATGGACATGAATTCCGTCCAATTTTTGATTTTTTTATGCCCCCCAATCAGAGATTTAGGGGGCATTTAGTGTTTGGTCTGTCTGTCCACAGAAACTTCAACCTCAACCATAACTTTTGAACGGTTGGTGCTATTTCACGTTTAGACTTTTCTGTTGATACATGTACCAATATTTTTTACCTTGAGGTTTGATCTCTGTTTTAACCACAAACACAATTTTTGAAAGGTTTATAAGTGCTAGAGCCTTCATATTTCACGTGTATTCCTTGTGACAAGACCTTTCTTTGGGTATCAACATTTTTGACTTCATGACCTTGGTCTTTGACCAGCTCTTGAAAATCATTAACCTTGGCCATACCTTTTGAATGGTTGGTGCTAGGGCTTATATATTTTACAGTGTATTCTTATTGACAAATCTCAAGACCTTAACCTTGGAGTTTGACCTATTTTTGAAAAACTTGAACCTTTGTCGTGAACTGCAATAGAAGGGTAGCAGTGTTTCACAAACACATCTTGGTTTTGAATTTGATAGTATTGAATTTAATTTATTAACAAATAAATAAATATGACTCGTAAGCAGATGATCATCAGATCAAGATACGATTAAATTGGCTTGTCAATGAGACATGATCTAGCTCTTCAGATAAGTTACTGTTTTTATGATAAATTTATTATATAACCATCCATTATTCGCTAAATATAATTCAAGATATTTTTGGGTTCAATTCATACAACCTTGTTTTATTAAACAAAATGCATTTTAAAAGAACATTTTTTAAGAAAAAAAGTGTGTATTCATGTGACCCACTCTTTAAATCCGTACACAATCCCATGAGAATGTGATCCGACTTTCCACACCGTGGTTTTCCGAATCCATATCACCACTTTTTCAAACTGATGTCACAGACATATAGTACACAGTACACTTTTTTCTTAAAAAATGTTCTTTTAAAATGCTTAAAAAAGTGTACTGTGTACTATATGTCTGTGACATCAGTTTGAAAAAGTGGTGATATGGATTCGGAAAACCACGGTGTGGAAAGTCGGATCACATTCTCATTCTCATGGGATTGTGTACGGATTTAAAGAGTGGGTCACATGAATACACACTTGATGAAAGATAAAACCTCTTGTGAAAATCCATCATGTTGCTTAAATTTATTGACTGGAACAGAATTAGTCAGTAAGCTTTTTGTGAAGAGTAAAACCAATCAACCCAAGAGGTCTCTTCTTTTGTTATCTTGAGGTGACTTTATAATATTGGTGTGGCGGTCGGACAGTTTCAAATCATGGTCTGATCCATCACATTTTTTTCTTCTCCTGTTACATTTGGTGCCATGACCAGGATTTGGAAGTGGCAGGTGAAAGACCTGCCAAGGCAGAGCCTGGATTGGTGTCTTCTGGGGCCGAAGACTTTTAAGGAGGGAGGAATGGTGGTCAGATGGGTTCAAATCCTGGTCTGATCCATCACATTTTTCTCCTCTCCTGTTACATTGGAAAGGAGAAACATATTTTGGCAACTTTGAATCAATTTTTTTTGTAAGGAAATCATTAAAGAATTATGAATTTTTTAATTATTTGATTTGAAATTCTTTAAATTGTAAATTTCTTTTGTTCAGTTGCTGAAAAAATTGTTTACACATTTGGGATGAGGTTGAACGTTGGACTCTAATCATAAGCTGAGAAGACTGCAATGAAATGCATGGAGATGTCCCATTTTGTATCATTGGAAGTAATCGATTAGTAGCAAATGATGTTACTTCCAAATTCCTTGTACATGAATAATCTATTGCTCTTTTTCCTAAAAAGGTATTCCCCATCATGCTTTGAGAAACAAGTAAAAATAAGTTGCAAGATACTAACTACTTTTAATTCTTAATTTGTTTCTAACTTGCTTTATCATCTTAATCACTTGCTCTGAAATAGCGTCTGGATTTCTATACAACATATGTCTATCTGAACTGTTTATCACTATGTGCTTGGCTCGAGGATAGTATTTTGTCAGTAAATTCTGCTCCGACTTGGCCCATGCCTGTAAAATAAGGAAAATCATCTTTAAATTCTTTGTCCACAATCAAGTTACTTAAAGTAGGTAATAATTGTCATGTTTTGAATACAGATTATTATAAAGCTCCTCTGAATAAATTTCATCTATAACAGAATCAAAATCTCATACACTGTACCAGATGAATGTAGAAGCATGAACTAAGTTTTTCAATGTAGGCCTTTTATTTGGAAAATATAGCATTCAAAGGTAGAATGCAGCACTAGATGCATCATCCATGCAGGTTTGGTTCAAGTAAGTCAGAGATATGGTGTGATAATAAGATCACTGGCTCATACACACACTTCCTTGCCCTTAGAATGATTAAGCAACAATGCAAAGCAAAACATGCAAGGCAGCGAATGTGCATTAGCAACAATGAAGTCAGAGAAAGAATAAGGTATATGTTCTGTCTCCCTCGTGTTGTCCTATCTTGTATTCTTAAGTCATTGCCCATTGCCAAGAGAAAGAGTGCCCCCATAAGTACATTATATACTTAAAATATGTCAAATGCAGCTTATGCAGCATTCAAAGTAATCTAGTATTACTGGTATTATGCATCATCCGTGCAATTTTATCCAGGTAGGGCTTGGTGACTTGAAATTGGACCTGCTATAAACATTTTAAACTGGTGCCCCTCCATAATATATGTGCACAAGCAAAATCAGAAGCAAGTTTAGACTAAATGTCACCACATTCAAGATTTACATTTAAATTAAAGGACAAACAAATTATGTAGACCTACTTTACCTTGTTTAAATGGCTTGGCATTAATTCATCATAATAATTTCCACTTAATACTGTGACTGATACATTACTTGGAACTGCTTTTAACATCCTCATTGTCCTACAACATTACATGTATATTTATAAAACTGGTTCAATAACTGCTAGAAAGGGTATTTTGCTGAGTTTTTGTTCCATTTTTTTTCCAAAAGAGCTACTCACCTGATTTGTGAAAATGATTCATTCATAAAATGATATTCATCCACTACAGAGCTTAGGTGTTTTGGATGACAGAGAAAATGTTTCTGAAAAAGAATGAAAAGTAATGGACCAAGGGATGGTAAGATATTCATTTTTTCATGTGTAACAAGAGCGATACAAACATAGCAAAATACCAAAAAACAAAGGTCAGATAATAATAATAGTGAGTGCAGCGAGCGGCGCAAAGCTTTGCTCGTTACTGCAAGCTCTAACGACAAAGCCTGTGCGAAGAGAAAATTCGGACTACTGCACATTCATTCAATAGAATTTTTTGACGCAGTAATTCACCCACAATGCAATGCTTGTTGTTCTCACTGCTAACTTTGTTTGCACGATAACAACAACTAAAAATTCACAAAAAATAAACTCACCTTAATTAAATAGATATTGCATACAGATAGTAGATTAAATGTTCTTTGTTAAAATTTTGCACACTTTCAAGCTTTGTTAATGGAAATGCAGCTAACATACGACATCATGTGATGTCACAGTCTAGACGTTCCAAATGTCTCGGCCTTTTTGTAGAGACAGATCTTAAAATTAAATGAACAATGCGCTTGCCCCAACGGTTGCACCTTCTACATATTATTATATGGGAAAAACTTTCAAGAACATATTCTTTTAAGTCTGAAAAAAGATTTTAAAAAGGTGATCTTTGATTGAACACAGCAATATTTTTCAAGATTCTGTCTGAGGGGATAAAACATACCTAAATATTGTTACAACAGTGTATTATTTGAATTTGGAATTATTTTGATTATTGGAATTTGGGGTTTTCAGGAAGAAAACCCTTAGTTAGACTAACTTAGACAACTAACAAGAATTTCTACTGTTTGTTGTGTTTAGAGCGACTAACTTAGACAACTAACATGAATTTTCTCATAAATATTGGGTTAGTCCATACTATCTTTGACAACTAATATGAGTTTTCTTCATAATAACTGGCTGAGTTGAAACTCAAGGAATGATTTCAACATCCCTGTCATTCATACCTTAATTTTTGTTAAAGTTAATATTTAAAATTTTATTTTTAATTTTTATTTGATTATATATTAGGTATTTTATTGTATTTTAAGGTGTTGATTGTGCTGGTGTTCTTTTTTTTATGTATTTTATTTTGTTTTGTTGACTTAGTCCCAGGGCTTAGTCAGTCTCCCTTTGTGTCAACAGGGTTAGTTGGCGCACGCGTGATAGGGGGTTAGTCATGCCTGGCACAACTAACCCTAACGGGGATTTACATTGGATCGCTGATCCAATGTAAAGAACGCACCAAAGACAACAAATGTCCGATTTTCAATTACTATCCAAGCACTGTACTCCCAAAGATTACATAATTCCACGTAAATCTTACTTCCATCGCTGAATTCTATAGGCTAACGTTACCCTTCGAGGTTAATCTTTGGCATTTCCACCACGCCGATATTTTCACTAACCTTGCTGTTCTCTTTCTAGAAGCATCGATCGCCGCATCAAAAAAAAATCGCTGAATCAAAGATTGAAACGCTCGACAATAAATTAATTTTGGAGATAAACACGACAAGGTGTATGACAGCGTCCTCCTCCGATTTTACAAGGCACTGCAGACGCTCCCCTCGTCACTTCCGCTGTGACGTCAGATTCACTCCAGTCAAGCTCGTCCTTTTCCGTAACCGAAAAGAGTTAATTTGGGGTTACGGAAACGGCCGAGTAGCTACGATTACTTTCGGCTCTGTGTGAAGTGTGCACATTACGATACGAACTTTCACTTAGACGTGGGTCATATATTTAACTGAGTATGGCATGTTACCAAAATGTGAAAACATTAGGACCTACATTAAATATATATTTCAAGTACATGTATATGGACTGTAAAATACACCTGTATTATACAGATTTAATACAAAATGGTATTACCTTTCTTTTGCAGATAAGATCACAGGTATATCTTCCTTTCTATTTGTTTTCCTCTCCATTTGTTAACTCGTTCATTGTTCATTGTTCAGTTGTTTGATTTTATTTTTATCCTGGTGACGGATTTCTTTCTTACATTCAGTTATAAATGAATTTGATTGCAAGGCATTTATTTCATATTTTACGACAAGAATAAAAAATTCTGGTTTATATTGAGACACTCCTGATAATAAACATGTATTACAAAAGCAGATTGAAACCATCATCTCTTGATGCCGAAAAATACAGTTTAAGAAATGAAGATATTGTGATTCGTCCATTCGTTTCACTGTCAGTTAAGAGACACAATTTAGTGTGCAAATCCCGAGGTTTGGTATCAAAAATGACGTTTCGTCTATTGTTACGTCATCAAGTCGCAAGAAGGTAATCTTCTCATGAAATTTAGAATCATAGTAATTGCGCCCAACCTACTAGCCTGATGTAAAAGACGTAAGCTATTTCCAATTTTTTAATGTTCCGCGGTCTTGTATGTAATTTATGTGCAGTTGTAATGTTTATAAGTACAAAATCTTCCCCCTTTGTCAATGACTCAGACTCTATACGCTAGATATGTAGTATACAAAATGCATTTGATGGGGAAAATATGGATAGATTTGGTCTAAAGAGGAAAAAAGAAGTGAAATAGAAGGCTGTAGCGATTTAATTTATTGATTTTAAATTTTATGAATTTGAGGTATATTTATTTTGTTTTAAATCTCAACATTTGTCTTCACATTTCCCCTCCCCTAATTGATAACCTTTTTTTATTTGTTGAATATTATTTATATGTTTTTTTTTTCAAAGTTAAGAAAGTTGTCCTAATTGAGTGTGAATTATTTATCAGGCCGTATAGGTATATAAGTAATCCTCTTGTTTGTTTTATTTGATCCAGAGTCCTTGCATGTCATCGATTTACAAAATACGTACATGAATATTGCTCAGGATAAGTGTAGTATAAGCTATTATATAATACAATATACATTAGCAGTTGCATATATCAACAATATCATTTACTGCTTTATCATTTCTTAATCAGAATTAAATATATAATCCAAAATGATATTAAGATTAATTCCTAAATACGTGAACCTTAGGGTAAACTGATCTAGAGTCGGACACGATCTAGAGTCGGACAATTTTGATGCTATTTTTAACGGACTTCCTGTAATGAATCCATCCTCTATCATGATCCACTGAATCAAGAATTCTTAATCAATTTGACCCTCAAAAGCACTAATTACCGGGAAATTCGAAGATTGGCCTGGCAATATTTCGATCGATCAAACGTATGAAAGTTTTCACATCGTGTAAGAGAATTTAATTTGAAAGTAAGAATTACACATATATTATGCACTTAACATTGTAAATACACAATATGTATGGTTTTTTGAAAATATTTTATTCTATTTCGAAGAATTCAAGTTCGACGCAATGACTCAATTTGATCTTGAGTCGGACAGTAAATTTTTGCAGTTTGATGCTAAGTCGGACACTGTCCGAGTTTTTATAAAGCTTGTCACATAAATAATTTCTTGAAGAATATTATAAATTAAGTCAAATATTCGAATCTCTGTTAATAAAGATAAATCAAAAATTTTTAAAATTAATATTTAAAATCAACAAAATTAATTCAAGGCAGGAATTAAGGAGTAGGCTTGAACGTCTGGTGGAAATTGTATAAAGCGTACTGTATACTTTCAAATTAAAATGTTTAAATCTCTCGGGGATTAAAAAACGTGATTATTGGAAATTTCTGTTAATTGTTAGCATTCGACAGGGGTGGATGGGGGGGGGGGGGGGTGAGGGGCTCCAAAGATGCCGATGCTTCATTATTGTAAATGGGAACCCAACAAAACCCAGTGGATGAATGTGGCGATTTACACTACAGACCTTGAATGCAGAAGAGTAACCAGCAGCTTTCAGATATTTCGTCTTCACCCCCCCCCCCCCCAAAAAAAGCATAGTCGAACTAAAAGCAGGTCTTGCTGCGGTTAAGGAGCAGAAGCGCACATACATGTATAAAAGAAAGACTTAGGCAGGAATTAGTATAAAAGTAATTGACACATAATATGTCTACTTATGAGATAATCTGCTCCAAGATCGAAATGGAATATTCCATTCAGCGGAAACAGTGTGACTTTTAGCGTCTTGATGATTTTGAATCGTAAAATGAAATGTAGAGTATTTATGCTTTTAAAATTTGTTACATTCATACATGATTGTGTTCTTAATCTAATTATTTTTAAAAAGCTAAATATATATATCAGTACTAGTTAATTATGAGACCCTCTCTCTCTCTCTCTCATTAAATTAACGTTTTATGATGTCATCATGATGATACATAAATATAAAAGAAAATGGATGCATCTAGCTGCAGGAATGTACCTTAATTTTCAGTCAAGAGGATACTTACCACAACAGGACAGACTCGTTCTCAAATTTTAAATCTATCAAATGAATAATTAAATCAAATTGACAAAGTACCTTATTTCAGATGTTGAAAAAATATATGAAATATACGAGATCATAACCTAAAAATACCAATTTACTGCCATACGATTGACTTATCTGGTCATATTTTAGCAAATCAAAACACGATATCAAAATTAAAAAAATCATTCCTACATCACAGAAACACGACGTCATTAGAATGCTAAAACATAATTTGAAGGATCAATGATTATTTTATTTTTCACATATACCTGCTGTATCCATATCAAATTCATGCGGCCAAATTCTCTTGGCAAGTAAAAAAAAATATAAAAAATAAAGAGAAGAGGTGAGACTGCCGAAACTCGTTAATGGGGGGGGGGGGGGTTACAAGTCGAGGTCAGATTATTTATTTTCTTCCCAGTGAAAGAAAGATTGTTTATTGCCATAATCCCCGTCATAATCAAAGTAGGGATACTTCGAATATTGTACAGAAAATACACAAAGGAGTTAGGGGCAGAAAAGGGGGGGGGGTCCTCTCTCCTATAGCTTCTGGCATCTATTCTTTTAAGTAAGCATGCATGATCGCCATTTTTTCTTGATTTTTTTCCGGCACCCCCCCCCCCCTTCTTGAAATACGAGACCGTGAAAGGCACATGCATGTTCAATGAACAAATGCACGTCA